GACATTCGGTAGGCCTGAAAATAAAGAGGAAAAAAAGGTGGACCACTAAATGGCTAAATCCTTGAACCTGTTATATCCACAGCAGATAACAGTGCAATTCATTTTCTGGCTTGGGGATTGAACCTGTTATATGCTGTGGATTTCCAATGTCTTTTGATTATGTGTACTGGGATGGTTTTTCAAGATGCTGCCGATGCTCCCCCAATTCTGTATGAATGGCCTGAAAATGATGACGGATCACAACTGAGATTTATGAATAGTGTCCTAACATATAGGATGACTTTAGATGTTGTAAGTGGGTTACTGTGTAACATTAATCAGGGGCCAATACAGAACCAAATCTTGGGAGGGGCACTGGTGGTGGGCTTTAGCGAGATAGAGGGCTAGAAGGATTAGTGAATAGAAGGTTGTACACATATGCAGCCACACACAGTGACATGGAAATACAATAACACAAAGATACACACATGAACCCATACTGACACATACACACAGATACAACCATATACGTTCACAGACACATACACTGGCACACGCGCACAGATACCTACACATATACACACACACACATACGCATACAGAAAATCACAGATACACACTAACACACACAGACACACACTGACACACACATACTCACAGATACACACTGACACATACAGATACACACACACATATTCACAGATACACACACATACAGATACACAGTGGCACACACAAATTGCACTTTACATATTGTTAACCACTCCCCTGCTTCCATACCTTTTGGTTGCAGGAAGGTGACTTCCTGGGGCTGGCTGATCCTGATGGGAGTCTGAAACTGCAGAGCTCTCCCTCCTCCTCTCTCAGTGTCCTCCTAGCCCACGCGGTCTGTAAGCTGGGAGGAAATAACAGTCACTTGCTCAAGTTGCTCTCAGCACTTCCTGCAACATTTAAAGTGGTCCGGTCTGCTAAAAGGCCTGCAGCACCCGACTGGGCCCATGATGAGGTAGTACTTCTATAGGAGCTGCACTATTTTCTCAGGGAGGGGTTCCCTGGATCTGCCCCTGCACCCCTGGATCTGACACTGACATCAATAGGTTGAACTGAACATGATTGGTTGAGTAAAATTGGTCAAGACAGGGCACCATTTGTTGTTAGTAGGATATAGATGTATGTCTATTTGTGGTCCCATTTAGTTTCTATGGTGAACTCATTTAAGTGTAAGAAACCATAGAATGCTATGTATATAGCCGTTTTTGCTATTAGATTGGTTTGTGTATCGAATTAATTGGTATCCAAGAGGTCTGACAGTGCCCTAAATTTTGGGACGTCGTTTGGTTGACATTTAGCAGCTTTGGAACAGACTAAGCATTCTATACCTTTTAGGATATTTTTAATTGGGCATGATGACATGAAAGATTTATGACCGGGAAACACGCTTCATGCGTGTTATTGTTTACCTGTGAGATAAAGTTTTATAGTGTTGTGTGCGAGTTTCAGGTTGAGGTGGCAAGAAGAGGTATCTATTATTGTTAATGGGTTCTATTCTCATATTCCTTAATGATCCTATTGAAAATAGTGAGTGCTAGTTTTAGCGTCAGTATTAGTGTCTTGTAATTTTCCGATAGGGCAGCTTCTGCTAGAGTTCTTCCATGAGTCGTTAGATGGGTTAATTCAGAATGAGGTCCTGGAATATTGGTGTTTTGGTTGGAAGTTGCATAGAACTCAGATTTGCTCGGCTTTGACCGGTGTGCTTGGTCTAGCTGGAGTGGATGGTCTAGCTGGCATGCTGTGGAGATAGAAATCCTCTCCTTGTTCTGAAGCATGAGACATACTCCAACAAATTCAATTGTAAAAGGTTGCAACAGAACCATGGGCGTCCGCAGGAATTTTTCCAGGGGGGGGCAAAATTGTAATGACATCCATGCTTGGTACCTTTTTGACAGTGTCATGAAAGGGAAGGGGCATAGCCATTATCACATAAAGCCAGGGTGAATAGCGTTTTCACAACTATAGTGTCAGGAATATAAGCAAATTAAAGGACATTTCTGGTCACCATAACAACTTCACCTAAATGAAAATGCTATGATGCCAGGAAGCCCCTGGGTGCTCGCTTTCCTTTAAGGGGTTAAATCGCTCTCAAATGGTTTAACCCCAAAGGCTTCCTCCAGCTCCAGGTTGCTCAGTGGTATTTGGCTTCTGAAACAGAGTGTCAGGAAGTGCAGATTGACGTCAGACATGGGTGCCGCTGATTGGCTAGAGTGGTCAGTTGACGCTCTAAGCCAATCGCTAGTTCCCGGTTCATAAAATATTTTGACTTTTTTATGAATGGGGAGCTACTGATTGGCTTAGAGTGCCAGCTGATCGCTCTAGCCAATCAGCAACACCCCTACCCAACGGCACTCTGTGCTTCCTGACACTCAGTAAATAAAAGTGAACACATTAATACTGATATTTTTTTACCTTTGGAGATGAGAAGGTCCAGCGTTTCCCTGCCAGGCCCAGGTACCAAAGCCTTATGATGTGGTGTCCAGAATAAAGTGGAGGGTTCACTTCATTTGTCCTTCCTGCTCCAATCTCCTTTTCCTCTCCTTCATTTGACAGTCTTTTTTTTTTCTTCTGACACTGTTTTCTATCCTTGGCCCCTTCTGCTCTTTTACCTTTCTGCTACTTTCTGGTACTTTCTGCTTATTTTGCACCCTTCTGCTCCTTTCTCATTCTGATCCCTTTCTGCTCCTTGCAGACCCTTTCTGCTCCCTTTTCTACTTTACCTTTGTGCTCCTTGCTGTCCCTTTCTGCTCCCTTTTCTACTTTACCTTTGTGCTCCCTGCTGTCCCTTTCTGCTCCCTTTTCTACTTTACCTTTGTGCTCCTTGCTGTCCCTTTCTGCTCCCTTTTCTACTTTACCTTTGTGCTCCTTGCTGTCCCTTTCTGCTCTTTCTCCTACTTTACCTTTGTGCTCCTTCTGATTCTTTCTGCTCCTTTACCTTTGTCCTCCTTGCTGTCCCTTTGTGCTCCTTCCTGCTCCTTGCAGGCCCTTCCTGCTCATTCTCCTACTTTATGTTTGTGCTCCTTCTGCCCCTTCCAGCTCATTTCTGACCCTTTGTGCTGCTTTACCTTCAAGCTCCTTGCTGACCCTTCCTGTTCATTTCTATATATCTATAGGCTGCTGCCCCCCCAAATCTATGGGCTGCTGCCCCCTCTCCCCAAATCTATGGGCTGTTGCCCCCCCAAATCTATGGGCTGCTGCCCCCAAATCTAAAGGCTGCTGCCCCCCCCCAAATCTATGGGCTGCTGCCCCCAAATCTATAGGCTGCTGCCCCCTCCCCAATCACAGGCTGCCCGTACCCCGTCTATGGGCTGCTGCCCCAGGCCTAAGGCTGCGCCCCCCGTCTATGGGCTGCCCCGTCTATAGATACGCCCCCCCTCCCCAGATCACAACATGGGCTGCCCCAAATCCCATGGGCTGCTGCTCCCAATGCTCAGGCTGCGATCTAAGGGCTGCTGCACTCTCACAAACATGAAACGCTGAGATCTATAGGCTGCTTGCCTCTCCCCAAATCGTAGACTTAGCACCTTTAAAAATCACAGCAGACTTGCTGCCCCAAATCCCAAGGCTGCCCCAGATCACAGCAAGGTGCTGCCCCGTCTAGGCTGCTGCCCTCCCCAAATCTATGGGCTGCTGCCTTTAAAATCACAGCAGACGCGCACCTAGAAACGCTTTGAAATCTGTAGGGTGCTGCCCCCTCCCCAAATCCCCGGAAATCTATGGGCTGCTGCTGCCCAAATACCCTGAGGCTGCTGCCCAAATATGGGCTGCTGGCCCCCCCAAATCTATAGGCTGCTGCCCCCCTCTCAAACCCTCCCCCCACTTACCTGATCTGTAGGCTGTCTCTGGCTGCATGTATTGTTCCCCTGCGGTTTCAATCAGCAGAGAGAAGCAGGGATAAGATGCAGCTTCCTATCCCTGTCTCTCTCCATACACAATACTGGCCGGCGCCGGTATTGCAGTTCATTTTAAATCTCACACGAAAAATAGCAGAACAAGCTGAAAAATCCAGGGGGGGGCAAGTGCCCCCCCTTGCCCCCCCCTGCGGACGCCCATGAACAGAACTATCCAAACGTGCCCCCCCTTATTCAACGGGTGACTTTCCTAGTTCAGAGTGGAGAAGAACTTAGCTAAACCAATGGAAGGGTGAGGCCCTCTAGTTGCCAAGTGGCAGTGCGAGTCTCTATCTATGGTTTGGCATGGGGCTGAGCCACCAAATGATGTGCCGGGACTACTGGTCTCTCGGTGACTTGTCAGAGATTCAAACTGGTTGGCCGTGACATGTGAGGTCCTAACTATAACCACAGATTAGGTAATTTGAGGCTCTAACTATCTATTATTATTATTATAGTAATAATAGCTTTTAGTTACACGAAAAGGAACCGTTATGTACTTTAATGTTGTTTTAAAGACATTTATTTAAACTGTTATTATGTATGTTGGCCGCTAGAGGACCTAATATCAGTGGTTTTGCTGAATGCTTGTCGAGCAGCATTTCCCCCTTTTTTCCCCTAATTTAAATTGTGTTTTGTATTGTGGTCAATCGAGGGTTGTGACTTACGATTTGTTGTCGACAAGGGCGCCGAGTGCTGCAAAGTCGTAGCTTGGCCTGAAAGACAGCAGTGTCCCTTACTTTGGTCTGCTGAGTCGAACCACGTTTAAACCGGAGGCTTGCAGGATGGGGAACACATGTGGATTGGGCCTTTAGTTTGCAGCTTGAGTTATTTTACAACTAGGAAGAGCAAGGTGCCATTTGGACCAGAACCGGATGTTACTAGTCAGTAAGTGACCTGAACAAACAACACATATTAGGTAGGGGTTGCCCTGGGTATATATATTTATTAAGGCAGAGCCTGGAATTGTTGGAGGGGTTACCCAGTCTATTTAAATTGAGGTCATCCCTTAATATGTGATGTTATTGGCATGTATATATATATATATTAAGCTAAAGTTGTTCAGGTGACTATAGTGTCCCTTTAAGCGGTTGTTTAGCTTCTGCATGTATTTATATATATATATATATATATATATATATATATATATATATATATATATATATATATATATATAAATATAAATACATGCAGAAGCTAAACAACCGCTTAAAGGGACACTATAGTCACCTGAACAACTTTAGCTTAATGAAGCAGTTTTGGTGTATAGAACATGCCCCTGCAGCCTCACTGCTCAATCCTCTGCCATTTAGGAGTTAAATCCCTTTGTTTATAAACCCTAGTCACACCTCCCTGCATGTGACTTGCACAGCCTTCCATAAACAGTTCCTGTAAAAAAGAGAGCCCTATTTAGGCTTTCCTTATTGAAAGTTCTGTTTAATTAAGATTTTCTTATCCCCTGCTATGTTAATAGCTTGCTAGACCATGCAAGAGCCTCCTGTATGTGATTAAAGTTCAATTTAGAGATTGAGATACAATTATTTAAGGTAAATTACATCTGTTTGAAAGTGAAACCAGTTTTTTTTTCATGCAGGCTCTGTCAGTCATAGCCAGGGGAGGTGTGGCTAGGGCTGCATAAACAGAAACAAAGTGATTTAACTCCTAAATGACAGTGAATTGAGCAGTGAAATTGCAGGGTAATTATCTATACACTAAAACTGCTTTATTTAGCTAAAGTAATTTAGGTGACTATAGTGTCCTTTTAAGGCTTCGTGCACCGCTCGGGCTTGGTGTTCTGTTCTCATTCAGCTCTCAGGCCCTCGCTTTAATGCACGGTGCCACAGTTGTGTCGAATTTTATGTTTGTCCTCACTCCCGCAGCCTTAGTGATATCAAGCTCCATTCTGGCGTCGATGGTGATGTGAAACGTTTCTCTTCACATTCTACTTATAGGTACCTGCGTCATAATGTGAAGCCGATACAATCCTATTTGAACAATTAACATGGGTCGCACTTTTTTCTCTCTTATTTTTTTACGTTGACTAATTGCAGTACTCCTTGGCCTTTATAAGGCCTTTTAGATTACCCCTCTGTGACCTGTCATGGTTTCAGTATACCCAAGAGTGAATCACTACTGTTTTAGCTATACTGACCTCAGCTTGTCTAACAATTTTTGATGTTTGTAATCATGACCTTGGCTGGACATTCAATTTTGTGGGACTCCCTGACTTGGCCTGCTATTAGTTAATTCTTTGCTCACAAACATTTTGTTTATCTTTCTCTGGTGCTAGCCAGTCCACTCTAAGGACTGGTACACACTTCTGTCATGTCACATTTAGGTTTCCTTATAAGCCAGGTCTGACAGTACTCTGTACAGGTCTGACAGTGTGTGTCTGTGAATGTAGATGTGTGTGTCTGTGAATGTAGATCAATGTCTGACAGTGTGTGTTTGTGAATGTAGATCTGTGTGTATCCCTTCATAGTATCTGTAATCTCTGATTGAAGGTTTGACTTAGGCCTTAGAAAGTCTAGAGCCGCCTTTATATACAAAAGGAGTGACAACCTGCCTACATGTGAACTTTAACCTTTTTTGTAGCACTATGAAACAACTTTCTCATGTAGGACAGCCAATGAGCTTACATGAAAGCCTTATGTCCACTCCACACGCACACGTTTATAGTCTGTCGGTATTGTCCCCAAATCTGTAAATACTCTCTGCAACCACCACCACCTCCACATTTTCCATCTAGTTCCCATTTGCTCGTGTTATTTGTACCATGTTGTTGTCCATTGCCTTTCATTAGTGATATGAGAAGGTGTGGCAGCGCCACCCAGTGGTAGAAACACTAACTGCAGTGTGTTATATTAATGCCAAGTGGCTGGCAGCAGGCTCTGTAATCTGACATTATCTCACAGCCAAAGTCACTCTGTCCGCCCTGGCCTTACAGAGCCCCTCACACACAGAGCTGGCACGGGTTATTACAGCCGGTGGGTTGTCCCGGGCCAGGCCTCGCCTCCCGCTCTGTCACTTCCTGTCCCGGACCGGCCGGTCTCGGCTGCTGTCGCCCTGGGTTTAGGCCTGTGTGGCCCCCGATGGATTTTACTTAGTGCGGCTGGAAGCAGTGCGTGCCCCCAGCCAGCCCCGCACCATGTCGTCGCCCTCCCCGTGCCCGGCCCTGTGCTGCTGCCGGCGCCCGCTGCACCCAGCCCCAGCCCTCCCGCAGGGCTCCCACCCGGGGCCTCCAGACCCAGCCTCGGCTTCCAGCTTCCAGCTCTACCGCCTGCACCACTTCCACCTGGGCCTGGAGCTAAGGCCGGAGAGCCGGGACCTGGCCGGCTGCCTGGTTCTGGAGCTCAGCCCTCTCTTGCCCGGAGGCCCGGCCTTGGTTCTGGACATCCACCCAGCCTTAAGGGTCAATTCTGTTCGGTGCCGCCGAGGGGATGTCAGAGAGCAGAGCAGGAATCCCCACTGCTTCCCAAACCCAAGCACACCTCCCCAAAAAACCCACCCCTGTCCCCCCAGCCACCAGGCCAATGTGCCCCCCAGCCACCAGGCCAATGTGCCCCCCAGCCACCAGGCTAATGTGCACTCCTGGACTCCTCCTGAGGACACAGCAGGTGCATTTTCTGACAGCCCCAAATCTGATGAGTTGGAGCTCCCAGGTTCTCCTGCCAGCCCCCCAACCACTGACCATTTGTGGTTTGTGACCCCTGACTCGCCTACACTGAGCCCAAACTCAGAGTTCTCACCAGTGGTGACTCCAGAACCCTTGGACCTCTCAGTTTCAAGGACAATTGTAGCAACTTCCTTCCCCAGCATTGTGCCTGGCATAACAAACTTATCTGGTGTTACAGAGTGTGCCCCTTCCCCTGCCATTTCAGTTTGTCAGTGCCCAACTACAAATGGACACAGAGGTCCACCATCCTCTTTAAGACTCGCCTGTCAGGCCTCACTACCTCCTGTGACTGTCCCTCACTCCCCTGCTGCTGCTGATCTGTCTTCCCACTCATCCTGCTCATGTCACACAATTTCATCTGACTCTGATGTGTCTTCACCACCACAGAAAAAAAGCTTTGCAAGTTCAGCACCTCCGCCATACTTCCCATCAAACATTCCAAATTTGGATGCTTGGCACAGCACTTTCGGTCCGCCATGTGGGCTCCATGGTGATTCTGGACCCTCAAATTCCACTTGCTGTTTCCCATTGGACTTCAGGGTTGACGAGTTCACAGATTATGGTTCTGCACTCACGATAACAGTGCCTGAAACTTTAGGAACCAACGAGACTTTCCAAATTATTGTGCATTATGTTACTGGGGAGGGCCCTGCAGTGAGTATTCAACCTTAATGTTTACATAGAGACACTTGAGTACTAAAATCCTTTCTAATGCCCCATTAGTGGCGTAACTTTCACCTCTGTTTCAGGATTAGTTACCAATTCTTTTGGTTCAAATAATATAACTAACACATACATATTTTTGTATGATTTGATATTGTTGTGTGTTTTTTTTGGCAGTTTGCGGAGATGTGTGCAGGCATTATTTTTAATATGCCATAGTCCGTTTACATTTGTATAATTTACAGATCAGGTCTACATTTTCATTAGTTTGCTTTTACACGGTAACAGTTCAATCAGCACTTGGAAATGTATGTACAAAACCGTGAATTAATCTAAACTGAATTGCCTAGTTCAGGCTAAAATAACTGTGACTGTTACAGTGCTTTAGAATTTGTCCAGATCTACTACATTTGTCTAAATTTAGCAATTTTGTTTTGAGTTTACTATAATTATATCACAGTGTTGTGACATAAATTGTATGTTATTTAGAGAAGTAAAATGCAACATTGTTGTTTTGTTCCTGTTTCCAGGTATGGTGGCTGGATCCAGAACTGTCCTATGGAAGCTCTCAGCTTTTTGTGTTCACTCAGGGGCACTCTGTTTGCAATCGATCATTCTTTCCTTGCTTTGATACACCAGCTGTCAAGTGTACTTACTCAGCCTCTGTTAAGGTACGTGTCTGTTTTATATTCACATGAGATTGTGTGCAGTCCAATTTAAGATGTCTTTTAAAGAAATAAAGAATTATGTCCCCAATCCAGTTGTCATGATACAACTATGTCCGTTAGTCAGTAACCACACCGGTACATAACTCAGAAAAGCTTAAATCCTGCACTTTTGGTGTGCTTTGATGACTTGGTAGGGAACACAATAACACTTTACCAGTGATTATGAATCTCCCTAAATTCAAAAACTCTGTCTTGTCTAGTTAACATGGGGGGGGATGGGTTTCTGTCCATATCTGCTCCACATTCCTTTATTATAATCTCGCCTCCTTTGCTTCTTTCTTTTCCTCCATTCTATATCCATTTGATGTGTGTCACTCTCTCCTCTTTTTTACAATCACAATCCCTTCTTTATTGAAAATTAAGTTTTTAACAGCCTAATAATACATTGGCACTACACAATGCTGCAGAAATTCAACACTGCAACAGTGAGCCCCTGACCTAAATAAAATACCGGTATCTATCCCATAGAAAAACACCATAACCTGTGCAATAAGTGTACCAAACTACCATACAATTTATATATGTAGTGCAAATAAAGTACCCAATCCTTAGCAATATACCTTTTTATCATGTGGGGGGAGGGGGGAGGAAATAAACCACAATTCAGCCAATCACATCTATCATACACACGAAACACAGTCTGCAACGTACCAACCAATAACATAAAAAGCAACGTGTGAGCACACAAACCATAAAACTAAAATGCAAATATAAAAATGTCAAAATAAATAGTAAATCATAATGTTTTACCCATTGTCATTACATAAAGAGTAATGCTGGCCTGATCATTACAGTAGTTCTGACATTTTACCTGTAGAATTACCAATGGTACATATGTGTAAAGAACCATAATATGGTAAATTGGCACTAAGCTTGCCTTGTTTTCCATTGTGATTGCTCATTGAATTATCATACTTCATCCAGGAATTGCTTTCCACATACAGATTATTTTTAGCTATTTATTCTAGAAATGTTTGGTTAGAAATACTGTCCGGTCATGTGCATCAGTCATCAATAAGGAACACATGGTGTATCTCTGCTGTTGTTAAAATAAAAAAAAACACAATATTGGAAGGAAGTTGGAGACATGACATGACAGGGCTGCATTTTATTGAAATCGAAAGAGCTAAACAACAAACAAAATGACGAGACATAACTGAATTTAAATGGCATGTTCTTAAATTAACAGCGTTTTGAAAGATGACACCAGAACCGTCACAGTATGAAATCTCTTGCCAAAAGCTTGTCATAAACTAATGTAGCATTTTACTGTATCAATGTCTTGTTTATTTGCTCAAATTTATTGTTACCTATAGAACTATTTAAAAAAAAAAACCCTAGATATATTGCAGATTTGAGTGTTATTTTGAATACTGGTAATAGACATTCCTACCCTATATTCAGAAAATGGTATCTTAATCATGTATTATTGTTTATTATTATTATTCATGTATGATTATGAAATTGGTGGTAGCATTTGTCTTTTTCCTTTTTTTTCATATCAAACCTCTCAATATACACTTTAAAAGTCTGTTATTTATTTAGTTTTGTTTTATTACAGTTTAATTTTTATAAACCAAATGTACATGCAGGAACCCTAGGCAGTTGAACTGCACCTAGCGCCCTTTTACAGCTTCTTTATCAAGTGTTTTGAAGTGATATGAGGAATCTGGCTCATCACTAAGGCAGAAGTTACATTTCAGCCTTAGCAATATCTATTTTAATAAATGCAGAATATTTGTTGTCCAAGCCTGTGAACTGGCACATTTAGCCTATAGTTTCCAAGTTGAATAAAGTGGATCTTGCTAAAATAGATGCATAACTCTTTCAAAGGCAATATGCTGAATTAGAGGCACTGTGTTATCCTGCCTTTGTGTTAAACCATTTGACACAGAATTTAGATGCTACCAAGGGGCCTCCTGGCACCATACCACTACAGCAGGTTGTAGTGGTTATTTTGCTTACAATGCCCCTTTCAGATTTTTTTTTTTTTTTTTTTTTGTCTTCATTGTGCAATTTAGCTTTTAATTTGCTACACTTTGGTGCTTATTGAATAAACCCATATAATATTGACATTTGGTAGAAATTTCAAGAACCACATCATTAATCAAGAGGGCCAAGATATAAAGCATCCACGACTAAACTTGGCATCCCCGAAGTTCATGAACTACTTGGCCCATGATGCTTTTTGCCTTAAAGTGAGCCATAACAAGTCACTTTTATCCCCAATCCTTTTCTAGGTAAAACATATGTCATTGTTTATAATGATTAATGCACTATCTCCTTTCTTAAAGGGGTGTTCAAAGTACCATAACCTCTAACAGCCTGCAGTGGTGGCAATTATGATGACATGCTCCTGAAGCGTTCTCCTGGTTTTTGCGTCAGACTTTTCCACTGTTCGCATTGCTTACATGGATGGTTATTTTCATATTTTGCTTCTGTCAATAAGATCAAAGTTTAATCCAAACGTTACAAGCTTTTAAATGGCAAAATGAAAGCAGTGTAGGGCAAATGTGTAATGTTGGACAAAGGAGGAAGTTGAACAACTTGCTTAGCGATGAACAGTGCAGAGAAATGGTAGTTTTCCAAGTAAGAGATTTGAGTTATTGAAAATTGTGCGGCAAATATTTTGTGAGCATGAAATTATCGTTGGATTTCCAAAACTGTTATTTACCAATGCAAATTTATGTTTGGGTTTATTCACTGAACAGTGAATTGTTGGAAGCTACACAGGCAATTGCAAAAATAAGGTAAGTACCAAGCTATTATCCAAGTCAGCTGTTACCATATCAATTATGTTACATGTTTTGAAGTGAATTTCCAACACTTCACAGATTAGTGAATAACCCTGGTTTTTATTGCATGCCACTGCTGACTGATTTTTACTGGGTGGTTCCTACTTGAGTGACTGATACAGTTTGTGATTTGTTCTTAGATGCAGAAGGTATTTCCTTCTTAAATTAATTTGTTTTCATTAAAGGCTCCTGTTGGAATCCAGGTTCTCATGAGCTGCACTCACAGTTATTACATGGAAGAACTTGGCGTCCATTACTTCTATATGGAGCATCCTGTTCCTGCCTACTTAGTGGCCCTAACTGCGGGTCACTTGCAACCAGCAGATGTTGGACCTAGGTAAGAACAGTGGTGTACTGAGTTATTGGGTGATTGCCTGTTATGGAGGAAATTTATTTAAGAGGGGCTTTATTTTATTATTTTTAATGTTTATTTCTTATTCATGCATTGTACATAATAATAAAAGATTCTCTGTGTAGTTTTACTCAAAAATTAAAGCAGTGGGGATGTAATAATGGACTGCTCGAGTAGTGATGTCAGGTTTATATGTATATGTATGTGTGTGTGTATATATGTGTGTGTGTGTGTGTGTGTGTGTGTGTGTGTGTGTGTATGTATATATGTGTATATATATATATATATATATATATATATATATATATATATATATATATATATATATATATATATTCTCTATCTTTTGAAAAGAGATGCACTCTCAGGTCTTTTATACGAAAAATATTATTTTAATCCAAATGTTAGTTTACATCTAACTTCTCAAGATCAGATAACTTCAAATACATACAGTGTTTTATATACTTAAAGTACTCCCTAAAAGTGACAGACTCCCTCAATCTCTCCGTGTAATCCTGGAAGTGACAAGCGGCGGTCACATGACGTAATTGGGGTGTGCTTAAATGTTGTGCGGTTGCTAGGCAACCAATATACAAGTGATTAGACCATGGGTCTAGCTTTCAATGATAATATTATTTAGTTGATTGGATATATGTCCATTAGTCTACAATAATAATTGTCTTTAAGCCTTTCCATTGCTTCTAAAAATATTTTAATTAAACGTTTGTGGTATAACAGTATTGGTTTAGGTCTTCACTTGGCTGCACTTTTTGATTATACACATTATTTTCACACTTTATTTTTGGACACTACACTGAGTTGGCACTATATAGTCCATTGTGAGACCTTTATATTTAATGTAATTTCTATGTTCTAATCACAGTTAAAACATACACTCTTTCTTTCTTTCTTTAATATTGACTCGGATAGCTAGATCCACGGTCTAATCACTTGTATATTGGTTGCCTAGCAACCGCACAACACATAAGCACGCCCCAATTACTTCACTTCACGTGACCGCCGCTAGTCACTTCCGGGTTTACACGGAGAGATTGAGGGAGTCTGTCACTATTGGTGAGTACTTTTACACTTTATGTATATAAACACTGTATGTATTTGATCTTGAGAAAGACCCGATTTGGTCGAAACGTTGATAAAGTTAGATGTAACTAACATTTGGATTAAAATAATATTTTTCGTATAAAACATCTCTTTTCAAGTTTTATATATATATTTGCTCATGTGGGGTTGCACCATGGCACTATAACCACACAGGAGGACAAAGGGTGAGTGCCAAGCTATTAAATAAAAAAAAAAAAAAAAAATATTATATATCACCACAAAGCACTCCCATATTTTAAAATTAATAGGTTCGAGACAATTGGCACTTGGGGAATAACTTTATACTTTTTAAAGGTTTGAATGATGGGATATATATGTCTTTGGAAATCATTCTCAGCACCCCAACTGCATTGTCTCTTTCATTGTCTGCGCGATCTCTACATTGTGCAGGAGTCGTGTATGGGCTGAGCCGTGTGTGCTACCATTGGCTGTTGGGAAGCTGGCTGGACGAGTGGAACAATGGCTTCAAGCTGCTGAGCGCCTCTATGGGCCTTACATCTGGGGAAGGTGATGCAAGATGCTCTCATATGTTTTATATGCTGGACAGGAATTCTTTTTTCTTGAAAGTGTTCACCTTCTATGTAATCTTTATTTTATGGTTTCCTTTGTTCAGACCTAAAGGTTACAACAGACAAGTAAATAATTTCCCCATATACAGACCAAATATTAGAACTCTGTTAACTATCTCACCAGTCAATCATATTAAACAAAATTGTTTGTACGGCCTCTACTTTAAAAACTTGATAGCAAGCCTATATAGCATTTTAAAGTGGCATCTTCTTATGATTTCTGTAAGCTGATCTTTTGATTGTAGCATGAAGTTCATTGTCTGGCCAGCTTTGAGTTCATTTTATGTCCTGGAAGTGGTCTGATTTCTCTCCTTTCCCTTATGCGGTCTTCTTCTGATTCAACATCATCAAATGTTTTTTTTTGTTTGTTTTTTTATCTTTTCTTTTTAGAACCCTAATGTCAGTCCTACACACCAACCAGTCTTCCCTCTATGCCTGTCTCACCCCTTGCCCATTATTTCCTTATGCCCCCTCCATTCTAGGTATGATATCGTCTTCCTGCCTCCATCCTTTCCAATTGTTGCAATGGAGAATCCGTGTCTGACATTCGTAATTTGCTCAATCCTGGACAGTGAAGACTTCCTGCTGATTGATGTCATTCATGAAATTGCACATGGTTGGTTTGGGAATGCTGTGACAAATGCCAGCTGGGAGGAGATGTGGCTGAGTGAAGGCCTGGCAACCTATGCTCAGCGTCGCATAACCACTCATGTCTATGGTGAGTGATTAAAAGGCCTAGGCGTAACATTAAACCTGTTTTGCTGGGCCTTTTCTAACGTTATCTCTCAAATCCTTTTCTCAACCCTGTAGAGGAAGGAATTGTTTACCAACTAAGTGCAAGTCTTTCACTTATTCCACATTTCATGCAACTTTCCTAGATTACTTCAATCTGTATGATTGTAATGGAGCAAAGTTATGTCTGGAGGAGATGCAGTTTTCTGTAAATATTTACATGATTATTCAAACTTTAGATTGTTAATGGAGACGACTATAGAAAGTTTAGAATGTATAGAACTGTTAGATGCTGGGGGTATTTCTAGTTCAGAGGTAACTTACACATTACCTCTAAAGAAATATATTATAATTTACATTCAGGAATTTCAGGTTGTGTGTGTTTTTTTTTCTTTTACAGTGATTTAGTCGGATAACACTGGAATTTATTTTCCTTGCACAGTAAAATTGAGCAATCTTATGGCATATAATGCATAAAAGCAGCCTGAAATAGCATTGAGTTTAGTGTGTGTTTTTTTTTTTTTGTTTTGTTTTTTAATATGTGTATATATGCTATGAGATTGTTTGTTTAATTTTTATATAATTATATTAATTATCCACTGTTAGTTATGATGCTAAGAGTACCCTGGTATGATTCCCGTCTTACCTGGGTCCTATTTCTGCAGAGCTGCGGAAGCTGGATGCCGGTTCTGTCCTCCTTTCATTAATGATGTTCTGTGCATAGATACACACAATTGACATTAGCCAGCCTTAAACTAATGATGAAAAAGTTCTATGTACAGGCACTCTTTTATCCGTATTGGTCAAAATATCAAGGTGGCCCATATACCTTCTAATATACAAAATACAAAAAATTATACTGCACTCAAAAATTTCAGATAGAGTTCATTACTTAATTTAATAATTTATTGTTATGTTATATGAGTATAATTCATTAATTTTAGCAAATTTGACAATCTATACAATTAAATAAGACAAACCTGTGGTTAGGGGACTTTAGTTACATGGAATAACATTAGTTGTCACAGAATACATTGTTTCTACTATAACATGTTGTCTGATTTAATTGTAAATATTGTCAAATTTGCTAAAATTAATGAATTATACTCATATAACATAACAATGAATTATTAAATTAAGTAATGAACTCTATCTGAAATTTTTGAGTGCAGTATCATTTTTTGTATTAAACTAATGATGCCCCAGTAATGCTGTCAGAGGTGGAGCTCAGTATGTGTAGCATTTCATAGTGAAACGCTGCACATACTGACTTCAGCCACCATGACCACTACAAATCACTAAACTAGTTTTATTTAAAGGGTTAGTTAATTATTTAAAGGATTACTCCAAGCACCATGAACACAATAGTGGTTGGAGACCTTTTTAACTATGAGCATAATGTTAAATAGAATCCTAGAGTCTTCTAACACAGGTTTGTTATATATTTTATCACTCTCATATTTTTATTGCATTTCAGTGATTTTTACTGGGAAAGGGACTGGAGAAAGATCAATTATAGCTATTTTATACTTTCAAATAGGTGCTGCTTTCACCTGCTTGGAGTCCACCTTCCGACTGGAAGCTTTGCATAGACAGATAAGAATCCTTGGCCAGGATACACCATTCAGCAAGCTGCAGGCCAAATTGGATCCAGGTAAGTAGATCAGCCCACAATGGAGCCTTGCAAACATCACTTGTTCTCACACTTTGACCACTTTTCCATGATGCTGGCTGAGCATTTTTGAGTTATATTGTGCACTGCAGCTTCCGTGTCAGGTTAGCCACCTCTGTTCTGAGAAGACTGTGTTTGTATAACGCTAAATTGTCATTACGATTCCCTAGATCTTTGCAGTTCGTGTTGCACATATCATTAACTTATTTTAAAAGCTCAGTTCTAATGAATATCTGTATAAGTCCAGGAACAAGAAAATTGGGACTCCTATAATACTGTGACCCAATAGTGTTACTGCAAACCGTATATTTCAAATTTAGATGTAATTTTTTTTTTTAGCTGCAGTGATCAGGTCTGTTGATGCTCAGTCAGCCAAATATTGGTGTATCTATAGAATCAGATGGAGGCCAGAAAGAAGTGGTTGAATTAATATTACACTAATAATGTTATGTGGAATTGTGTTTTTATGATTTCATTGAAAAACAGAATGCTTGCTAAAATTCTTTATTTAATATCAGACATGGTAATCGGTAAGCATAGGAGCAGCTTTGTAAAAATGGTTACTGGAAATGGGTTACTGCTTACTGGCAAAAATAAAAAAATTACTTCCTGTTATGAGTAAAACCACTCCGGTCGAGCATCTGGCTTTATTTGCAAATCAGCAGTTTATTTCAGCACAGACACCAGAGTAATGTAAACATGCATGAACTACCTTTTTCTGTTTAGGAATTTAGTTTACTGCAAATTTTAATTGCAATCCTCCATTTCTAATATCAGAATTGATATTGGCAGTGGGTTACCTTAGCTTTGGAGTTATTGGTGGGGACAGGGTTAGATTTAGAGATAAGAGTAGTGTAGGTTTACACTTAGTGTTGAGGTAAGGTATGAGTTAATGCTGTTTTAGGGTTAAAGATAGTTTAGGGTAGTTATACAGTTAGTAAGTGTAAGTATTGAGTAAGTGATATGGTTGGTATAGCATTAGTGGGGGTTGGTAGGTATACGGTTGACTATCAAAAATGTATTAAGATACTAAACTTACAAGGCATTTAATAATCACTATCATAATGACTGATGTATAAATATATTATGAGTTATTTTTAATTATTTGCACTAATTGTTTATAAACAACAAAAAGGTTTGTTTTTGTTTTTGGATTTTTTTCATGCAATTCCCCCCATTTATTTATTAATTTTTTTATTATTTTTTTTTTACATTTTATTCATACATAATGTTGTTAGATTTTCACATGTGATGTTAAATGAAAGCCTTTTCTGTCCTTTAAAAAAAATAATATAAATAATATATATAGGGTCAATTGAAACACTTAAATTACAGTGGAATAAACCTATAACTCAAATTCAAGGTTTTACAATCTACAGCTAGGAAGCCATGCACACTCCAAAACAAAAGGAAAAATCTATATTTCAAAGGGTATTTTTTTGAAAAGAGTCGTTATATACATCTATGCATCCTCTGAGGGGGAAAACCCAGTTGCACTTCAGTACATAAAAATTATGTGAATACAAACCATGAGCAAAAAAGGGCATGACACACTAAATTAACAAATAAAATAAGTTGTCCACAAAGTATAGTCCTAATCAAAATCACAGATTCATCATTCAAAATTTAGATGACTATACCTGTATATTGGGGGACATTAATTTAGCGTACAAATAAAGTCCATCAAATCCAGTCAATGAGTAGGTAATGTAGTTCATTCTTCACTGGCATGATCTTTTACGATTAGTTCATGTTTAGCAGAATTCTTTCTTTCCAAAAGCATAATAGCTTCACCACTACACTTATAGGGTCAGAAATTCAAAGGTGAATTCCTGAACCTATTGTGTTAAAAAAACATTTAGGCCCCCTTGCCACCCCATAAATAAATATAAAACTTACCTTTATTCCAGTGCTAGGTGGGTCTGCTGCCGCTGGCTCCACCCTTGCCAATTCAGTGCTTTCCTGTGGAAAGCATTGGATTGGCTGAGATTGTCAATTCTCATGATCTTTCCAAAGGAGACGGGGCTAGGGGCGGAGCCATACACCACCCTGTCCAATCAGCTTCACTTCCTAGAGATGCATTGAATCAGTGCATCTCAGTGGGGAATGTTCAGCGTCTCCATGTAAAGTCAGTGCAGACCCAGAAAGCACTTCTGATGGCCGTCCAAGTAACTGCCACTGGAGGTGTCCCTATGGAGCAATGTAAAACTCTGCATTTTCCCTGAAAAGGCATTGTTTACATGAGAGTGCCTTTATGAACTGACTAGATTCACCAGAACAACTATGTTAAGCTGTAGTTGTTCTGGTGACTATAGTGTCCTTTTAAACGTATGTTCTTTTCTTCAATTGTTGATGTTTCTATATTTCTTCATAAAGTAGCTTTGTTGAGTGTAGCCAAAAATCGTGTTTAACTTCATCAGACCAAGAGAACTTGTTCAATAATAATGCCAATATGTTTGTTCACTGCAGAGAATGTGCTAACTTCCTTTCCCTTGGAAAAATATGCAAAATATATATATATATATATATATATAATTTTTTATTTTATTTTTTTTTTTTATGGTTCAGGTTGTCCTATTTGTTTACAACTGTATTTTTTTTTTTTTTTTTTATTCATTTTTTTCTGTGGATCTGTAAAGAAAGAATATAGAGGGTGCTGAGTCACCTTACAGGTATCTGGTCCAAAATTATATACCCTTGATTGCTCTTAATTAGTGAAATAGGGTGAACATACTGATATGTGATCGCACACAGCGAATGCTTTCTTCAACGTTTAAACCAACAAAAATCTCATAGTAAGTACAAAACTCATTTTAGACGTATAGTTAAAAACTTAAATCACAAAGGCCTTATCTGGCTCATAGATATGAACTGGAACAAACAGTCATCTGTTTTTATTACATTTACTCTTAAGATTATCAGGTACATAATTTCCTTCACTTAATTTTTTTTTTTATCAAAACCACCTGTTTGATAATCTGTAGGGAAACATGTTGTTTGGGGGGTGAAATGTTCCCAAATTTTCGGGGGATCCTGTCAAAAGGGTTTTCTCCACTGCAGTCGAATTAATAAAGATAATGGGGACTCCTCTCATTCCTAAAGCTTTAACTAAATGGGAAACCGAGTTAGCAATTTCTATTCCTTTTAATAACTGGTGTAAATCCTTTGTGAGGACCAAAAAAAAATATTCACTGTTTGAATATCTTAGAGACCTTTTATAAAGGTGTTGTATAGATGGTACTTGGTTCCTATCAGACTTGCTAAAATTTCTGTTACTAACCCGTCTAATTGTTGGCGATATTTTCATCTCGACGGATCAATGGTTCATATATGGTGGTCTTGCCATCGAATCAAATCTCTCTGGAAGATTACATATGAATTTATAAATAAATTGGGAGGCTCCTATTTGGAATTCAAACCGGAAATTGCTTTACTCCATCTTCTGGGCCCAGAGATAAAGCATACTGATATTGTGATCATACACTGCTTAATGGCTACTAAAATTTTAATAGCTAGATTTTGGAAAAGTTTTGATATTCCCACGAGAGATCAACTTAAAGCACAACTTTTATTCCAAGTTGAGATGGAAATGGGATTAGTGTCTATGAGAGAATATTCTAAATTGAAGGCCTTGACGTTCTTTTCTAGCTTTGTCCAAAAAATTAAGAAGCTTTGAGGTAAATGATTAAGTGGGGTACCTTTACGACTCCCCCGCGGTTGGCAGAGTGTTCTCAAAGGGGATTCTATTGTTAGTCGCCTTTGCCTTATACTGTTTATTCTTTTCCTTAAAAGGGGGTTTTGGATCTGCAACACATACGACCATTTTTGTCTACTGTTTTGTCTTGTGTCTTTGTTTCTTTTTCTGTTTAACATATTTATAAGGTTCTGTATAGGCCGTTTTTGGTCTATGATATGCAGCTGAGGGGATGTACGTATTCCCAGTTTATGTCTTAGACGGCTCATTGAGGAAATCTGAAATAGAAATCTGTCTTTGTATGTATGTATAATATGGTGGGGAATCCTTATTTTTTTCTTCTGTAAGATTCCCTCCCATGGTTGTTGTCTTTGTCTATTAATACTTTCATGAAAAATTGCAATAAAAAGAATTAAACAAAAAAACAAAAAAAAAAGAAATGTTCCCAAATTTTGCTTTTTCAGTGTGTTCTCATTTAATTTTGATTTGCAGTCTGGATATGGATTATGCAAATTGTATTTCCCTTCTTTCCCATGTGTAGGTGTGAACCCCAGTAACCTCATGAACTTATTCACCTATGAGAAGGGCTTCTGCTTTGTGCACTATTTATCCCAATTATGTGGGGATCAGGACACCTTTGATGCCTTCCTCAGGGTACGTAATCTGAAACACTGCATGCTTTTTTAGTGGTTTGTCACTCGTACAGTTCCAAAATCTTTTATCCCACATCCCCCATCCCCACACACAACCGATCCCTACGAAGGTACTACTGAGACACAGTTAATTTATTTTATCATTATATTTTTCATCACAACATTAGTTTCTCCTCTTGCTCTTTTTAAAGGATTACATTGAGAAATTTAAGTTCCGCAGTGTTTTAGCTCGCGATCTCCTGGAATCCTATCTTGGCTTTTTCCCGCAATTAAGAGGAGACGGGACAGAGAAGAACGTTGGTGAGTTTGGTGATAAGGAATTAATAGCAAACTGAATACGTAATATGTTTGAGACTTTACTTTTTATTTTTGTTCTTTCCACAACACATTCAGACCTGGAGTTTGAGCGTTGGTTGACTGCTCCTGGACCTCCTTTGGCGCAGCCAGATCTTTCTCAGGGATCTGTATACACTGCTCCAGTGGAAGCACTAAGTGAGCTCTGGATGACGGATCCATTGGATGTTGAAGCTGCAACAACGTATGCCAATATTGCTGAATGGCAAACCTTCCAGACTGTGCTGTTCTTGGACAGGCTTCTAGACAGGTCTCCATTACGACCAGGTAAGCAGTGTGTGGAGTACTTATTATGACATGTGAATTGGAAATATTTTTTTTTTTTTTTTTTATAGTATTAGTAGCATTTATATAGCGGCAACAAATTCCATAGCACTTTAGGGGAGGGAGATGTAACAATAAATTAGAAAATAGGATGAAGACCCTGCTCAAACCAGCTTACAGTTGAGGAGGTTGGGTATAAAACACAGTAGGACAGGAAATAGCAATCAAATAAGGTGGGAGTGAAGCAGAGCTGGAAGAGAGAGTAGAGTGCTGCTCTTTAGGAGAGAGCTAGGGACAGGGATGTGAGGCAGAGGTTACTCTGGGCGGCCATAAGCTTTCATAAAGAAATGGGTTTTAAGGCACTTTTTAAACAATTGAAGACTAGGGGAGAGTCTGATGGCGGTAGGCAAGCTATTCCATAGGAAGGGAGCCACTTGCGAGAAGTCCTGCAAGTGTGACTTGGCCTGTACGGGTGCGAGCATGCTTAAGAGGAGCAGGGACAAGTTCCAGGAGCCCTGAGGACCGATTCGGCTACAGAATGGTTTAAGCTTGGATAAAAAAAAGTTTTTTGTTTGTTTTGTTCCAGGTGAGAAAAAGCACAATAAGGGTTCCTAACATAAATAAAACAAATTACAAACCGCAGTGAACTATAGGGCCTGTTTAGAGAGACGGTAATAGTAAATGGAAAAAAAAAGTTCCTCAATTCAAGTAGTAGCAGCCGCATGCATACATGTTGGTTCCTGTCACCATGTGTACGAACGGTACAACCTTGATTGGGTCCCATCTGTTCAGGTTGAGAGTGCTCAGCAGAGCAGCTGCTCCTCAAAGATCTGAGATGGATTTCGCCTTGTATGACTTGCAGAGGCATGTGCCAGTGGTACCGGACCTTGTGCTGCTGGGGCAGTGTTGTGAACGGTCGGAGGGACCTCTGCCCTTTTTAATCTATTTTTGTACTTAAAGTGGAATAGTCATTCAGAAAATGTGTGCATGGCCAGGTTCACTTCAGGCTATGGTTTGAATTTACTCCCTACTTTGTGTTGCTGAAATGTTTGTGTGTACAACAAATTTACTCCCTCTTCACCTTGTGCAATACAGCATGCTGGGAATGGTGGAGTGACATGTGGAGGTCACAGAACACCTTTCATTATGAACCATGGGAAATTCTTACCCATCCAGACCGCTTTACTTGCTAGGAGGAACCACAGGTTCTGTTGATGCAAAGACCAAATTAAAATTATGCTTGCTAATTGTGCAATCAGACCATGTTTTATTTTATTTTTTTTTATTATTTATTTGTGTGTGTGTATGTGTGTGCTCCATGTTTGTGCGTGCCTTTGAAAACTACATGTGTAATAAAATGTATGCATGTGCTAGTAATTTGTATAGGGTTGTGCTTTCTTGGATGGGAGAATGTGCATTCACACTGAGATAATTCCCTGTAGCAGATTTTTTTTTTTTTTTTTTTTTCATTGCTGTATCTTCCTTTCTTTAAAAATTATAGATTAAGATTTAATATCTGTAAAGAAAAAAGGCAAATGGGAGAAGAGGGGGGTGACTTGGAAGTGTATCCTTTAACCATAGACCCAAATATTACTGGAATTGTATTGTGTGTGCTAGCAGTATTAATGTGTGATACTTTCATTTCATGCTCAGTTATAACCTTTTTAGTAAATGTACTTTTTTTTTTTTTTTTTATTATTATTTTTTTTTATTACACACATCCTGAAAATGCATCCTTATGAAATTGTGCTACACAATGTTTAAAACTGATTAATGAGCTATAGATGTGACAAAAATACACTTACTAAAAGTTATCCCCCATAATTATTCTTGTGTATCCTGATCATCCTGTTTCCTGTATTTTTAGAGGTAATGCTGCATCTGGCTCTGTGTTATTCTGATGATATTGCCACTATGAACACAGAGATCAGGATACGCTGGTTGCAGATTGTGGTGCGGAACAACTTTCAGTCAGACCTGCCTCAAGTACGCCACTTTCTCCTCTTCCAGGTAAGTTCGAACTCTGTCCCATATGTATCTGCACCAAGGTCAATAAGCTTCATTGATATCTTCTGTAACTTAAACAAGGCAACTTCTTCATTTAGCAAGCTGAACAGACTGTATTTTTTTTTTTTTTTTTTTTTTTTTACACATTGACTATGATCACAGCTACAATGCATTAAACATTCAGTGTTTACAAGGACATGAGACCATTGGTAAATTTGCTATTTGAAGTGTGAGATCCATTCTGTGTATGTAAAAGACCTATATTGCCAACACCTAGGTGTTCTATATCTTCCACCCATTTACTTTTGAAGTTACTACCTTCAACCACTAATAGTTGAGTGCTATAATAAAGGAATACATGTGTTGCACAACTTGTTGATTATATTGTTTGTTGTCTTTTCTCCTAGACATCTAGGATGTATACCATCCCTCTGTATGAGGATCTCAGCGCTGGACCACTGAAGTCCTGTGCCCTGGAAATATTCTATCAGACGCACAGCAGGTTACATCCAAACCTGCGCAAAACAATCCAGCAGATCCTGACTCAGGGAGGCTCCGTGGTGGTGCAATCAGACATGTTGCCAGTCCTGACCTCTGAACTTTGCACACAAGGCCCCAACTCTCTCAGGGATGTTAATGTGACAGCATAACTGCTAGTCTTTATCAACAAACTGGCTCTAAATCTGTCCAGACTGTGCCTTGCACTGATCAGGACAGAGAGACAGAATGCAAGGAATGTTTGCACTGAGAAGGAGACAAGTAAACTCCTCTCTCAGCCTATAACACTCAGGAGGGGATCTTTCAAACCCCAACAACAGAACTTTCAATGCCTAGCAATTGGAGAGTAGAAAGGTGCCAATTGGGGAGTGTGTATTTATGTAAATCTATATCTACACACAAACGTTTTCATTTTCTTCTGGAAGTACAGAGCATGTAATAGGCCTGAACGAATTCCAGACTTCTATGCATTTTTACACTTTCTATTTGAGGTTTTACTTTAATGGTATTTAATGGTATTTAAGTACACCCTGAACCCTTTTTTGAAATGGTGACTTTGTAATGATTAAAATAGCAACTAAAATGCTGCTTCTCCTGAAAATACCTGCCTTGCAAAGTGGTTCAGGAATATAGGAGTTCTGATTAATGTTTGCGTTGTTGTAGCAGCCAGACGTGACATGTAGCCAGCTAACTCCAGTTTTCAATACAAAGTGACAGATCATTTATAAACCAATCAGGATGTCCGTTTTATCAGATTTTAATTGTTTTTCCCGGTAGTGTAAGGTGATGTTTTAAAGATATTTTCTCTTGCCTAACATCAGGTTAAACCTAACCCAAACTATATTGCAATGTATAGATTAATTCAGAAGCTCTATTTACCCCTACCCCCTCCACCTTTCATTAGCATTTGTTTGCACATGCAGTTTTTCTTGGGACCTGAATGGCTTTAAGGCCAAACTTTTTGGCTTTACCAAGGCTAAAGGTGACCCATAATGTTCTGCCTCCAAGCAATAACTCTGAAGATCAGCTTCCATTTTTGGTGGTTTTATATTTGAAAGTATGCCAGCGAAATGCATGCCTTTCCAGTTAGCCCTAATTCCTGGGTATGGAGCAGAGACAGTTGAAGTAGTTCCAGACCTGGACAGTGGGATTTTTTTCTTAACCCACTAGATTCTGGTCTGTCTGCATCCATTGGAAAGAAGTTTTAAAGTTCATGTTTAATTACTGGAACAAGTTACCTGGGACAGAACACAGGATGAAACTGTTGACTTCTTTTGATGTTTTTCTTTTTTCAGTTTTCTTGTTTTTTTGTTTTCCTTTTTGTTTTTTTTTTTAATGTTATTTTTAAATGGCATAGAAGAGCTAAAAAAATAAAACAGAGTGGTGAATATTTGCTCTGGTGTATATGTGGCTGTTTTAATTGCATTTCTTTTGGTTTAAAAGTGAAGATTTTATTTCATTTGTAAACCAGTAGGATTTTATCCATGGTTTCAATTCTTAAATTTTTTTTTTTTCCTAACGGTGAGATAAGGGTAAATATACATGAACTATGACAATTCTCCCCCCCCACCCCCCCCCCCACTTTTCTATTAACGGTGATGTGTTCTATTAACTTATATGGCACAAACAAGAAAAACCTCTGGCACAGTGGTTTGGCATTTGGCAAACTTTGGCATTTCCTTTACTGCTCTTATAGCCAAAATGCTAGCAAAAGGTTGCCTACCCCTGCTTTAGAAAATCTCATACTTTTCTCTCCAAATGGATAAGAAAGATGTATTACAACAACTTCATTCCATCTGAATAACAATAGTCTAAAGGCATTAAACAGCATACTGCATAGATTTATTTCTCATACACACAGATTGACGCATTACCTATACTTTTGTGAGTTCACCTTCTATCTTTGTGCATTAACATGCATGGCCTTCAACTTTCCGTAATTTATTTATTTTATTGCATCCTCCAACGGTTTTCATTACATATCCAAGCTTATGCATGACAAGTTCACTTTAATATATGCATCACTTTAGCTACCATTTGCACTTGACATAATGGGGAAAGCTTTGCAATCTGTAGGAATCACTGCACTTATAATCAACCGTGTTTAGGGGCACATTAAATGGAAGTTCACGTACAATTACATATTGAAGAGGCATATATTTTGGAGTGTCTTTTAAGAGTAACAATGTAGTGTAGTAGATACTAATGTGAATGTTTGCATCCATAATCCATGAATTGAGTCTATCAGAGTCTTACCTTTAACAGATTTTCTGGTATGACAGTGGGCTGGTGAGATTCACTGTGTGTAGCCAATATTTTCACTGTGTGTAACCAAAAAAAAAAAACGTGTAAACTACTCTGGATCCCAGTTAGCGATATAGTCCATTTTTGGGACAAGTTAGCAATATAGTATGTTTTTTTTTTTTTTTTTTCCTCTTGCAGATATAGGCAGTAGACACCTGAGGGATCTTCTGCAGAACAGGCAGCCTAGTATTGGAGAGAATTTAAAGTCTGCTTCGGGTGCTAGAAGTGATGAAATGGTATGTAGGTGAGCGCTGGGCTGCTACCTCAATGGAACACAAGTCCAGGTGACATTGTGTTCCACTGCAGGATGCTACACACTTCAGTGAAGCTCTCTGCGTGCTTTGGCCCCAAATTCAAACCAGAAATCTTTTTCCATCTCTATTTAAACCCAGCAATGATTTTGAGGCCTGATGTATGTAAGAAAGCTATTTGTGTGCTCTTTCCAACATACTGTGAGGCTTATTATGGTATGAAAGTAGTATTTTATACACTTAATAATGTAACCTATTTGTATTTGTTCTTGTGTTTAATATTGTGTTGTACTTTTCCTGTGCTTTTATGTATGCCCAATAAACCAAAATAAAGTGGAAAAAGGCAAAGGGTTGGCTAAATCCAAGCATTTTAGCTTCCTCCATTTGCAATTAGTCATTGTCTGTTAAACGCAAATAGAAGTTACACAACCCATGTATAAAGAAAAGCTGCTGATGAAACCTAAAGAGCAGATGTTTTTGTATTTTTGTATTTTTTTTATTATTGGTTTCAATTAAGTGTACAGTAGACATCCGTGGACAAATGTCTGCAGGTCTACAGTCTGGACTGAATTTCGGGCACACCAGGAACTTGTACTTCTCAGTAGTAGTGCTACTGTAAAGAAAAAAATATATACAAAACACAGATTAAAAACCGTATACACACAACAAAATAAAACTTCCTCATTTGATTGTCCAGAAGAGCAAGAAAAGAAAATGTCAAGTTGAGGATTCCATCTCAGAATGCTCCGAAAACTCCACATCAGATTCAAAGTCTCTGGATTATTCTTATAAAACCAATTTTTTCTAAGATGACCATATACATTAATAAAGGAGGTCTCAGCCATGATAAAGCTACAGGAAGCATCAACAAAAAGCTAAAGCATTGCATCCTAATTTTAGGAAAAAAAAGGGCAGGCACCATCTAAAGGATCATTCATCACCAACCGCTTAAAAAACATATTTCCTCTGAAAGAAGATTTATACATTTATGTTGTGAATGTAGGAAGTACACTATAAGACGGACGTGAAGAAGCTTGGCTTTAAAAAAAAAAAAAAGTGAAAACTACACTGATCAGTCTCATTGGAAACCACAAAAGGAAGCAGTGTACTAATTCACTTGTAGAATGAAGGTTTAGCTGTTGAAGAAATTTAGGTAATGTCATACTCTTTGAGTGTTGCTCTTACAACAGCCAGAGAATCCATGGTTTGATTTTTGGTGGGTGAAACAGCTTAGCTGTGGATTGCAACTGTAATAGGCATGCATATCGGGACATATCCCTTTCTTAGGGTGGTTACTTTAGCTGAACTGTCCTGGAACAATAGAACTTTATGGTCTTGATACATAATTGTTGCAAACTGCGCAGTATGGTTGTTTTTATCAGCAAAGTTGAAAAGGTGGATAATAACTGGTCTGGTGCTAGTGCTGCCTTCCTTTGGAGAGCCAGGACTCTCCCTCTGCTTGGATCAGGAATTTGGGAACAAGAAATAGCCAAACGAATGGCTCGCCTCCTCCCCAGTAACTGGGTGACACAGTTCTGGGAGTACAACTGATTTTATACTGGCCACACACCACTTTTATTCACTGACCCCTAACATGGGATCTCCACATCCAAAATTCAAGGGTTTTTCTCCCAGAAGTCTCTATTTCTGAGAGATAATTGTGAAAACTATAACTCAATTATCTCTCAGATACAGGAAAACATATACAATATTACAATTTATCATAAAAATACATTTCAATAACATAGGAACCCCATGAAAGCCATATCACCGAATAACTTGGGTATGAGCGCCCACTTTGTCGACTTAGCGCTCAGATCCCTTCGTTGGTTCGGGAACGCCATTCGAATGACGTTTTGACCAGTCGGCCACGAGGTGGTGCCCCAAAATAGTTCCATAGAAAACAAGACAACGACCGGTTATGTTTCGGGAGTTGTCACATAAACACAGACGAATGCTCCCCCTGTTAGGGAGTGAACGCTCCCCCTGTTCGGTAGATCCTAGGTCCTGAATGCCGTTCGTCTAGTCGGTCGGGAAGTGGGACAGGCAGCGGGTACCATCTTTGCCCGGGTTCACAGAGACACGAGGCCGAAAATAGTTCCAGGCGTTCAACCAGGTACCTCTGCCTGCGTTCGGAAGACAAAATGGGCTCCATGCACTGGACCACGTTCGTTCGGTTATACAAACAGTGCCCACCAAGGGAAAGCACTCACGTTAATCACCAATTTGTGGTTAACAGCCAGTGGAGATCACGTTCGAAGGGTTATAAAAGGGGGGACCACCAGGGAATGGAGTTTGTTAGAGTGGTCTTATACATGAAGAGTGATCCTCTTTTTCTTTGTTCCAGGGCATGCAAATGTTACAGTTTGTGCTGTAATTTGAGTTTTTGCTATTAAAGGACCACTATAGTGCTAGGAAAACACTCGTTTTCCTGGCACTCTGGGGCCCGATGCACATCAACCTCTTCGCCTCCCGATTAAATTCACAACTTCCCTCTTTCTTCAGCTGGTGACCAGATACAGACGCCATGGCGGTGGACGCCTTCCTACAACCCTGGCCAAATAGATGGCTATATGCTTTTGCTCCCTTCTCTCTAATAGATCGGACCCTCCTACATCTACAACGATTCCGAGCATCACTGGTTTTGATAAGACCCTTCTGGACAGCACAGCCTTGGTTCCCTTCCCTCATGGAAATGTCTATTGACCTCCCCAGACTAATTCCGGTATCCACGGACCTACTATAAGATCCCGATGGGAACTCTCACCCTCTTCTGGTTCAGGGACACCTCAGACTCCTGGCGTGGCTCCTCTCTGGGGACTTTGGGTCATGCTGAACGTTTCGCAAGCAACTCTTGACTTATTGGCAGGAGCTTGGGCTCCAGGAACAAGATGATCCTACACCCATGCCTGGAACACATGGTGTAGTTGGTGCATGCAACAACACGTGGATCCCATATGTGCCTCAACCACATCTTGAGTTTCCTTACCGCCCTGTATGACCAAAGCTTGGCCTACCGCACGATAAACGTGTATAGATCAGCAATCTCAGCTGGTCATGGCGGATTGGATGAATTCCCGGCTGGGAAACACTTGCTGTTTTGTCATCTTCTACGAGGCATTAGATTTGCACGTCCACCACAGCACCGATACACGACTTTATGGGACGTCAATCTGGTTCTTCGTCTCTTGGAAGATTGGCCTATGAACTCGGACCTTACGCTCAAAAAAGTATCTGCAAAATTGGCTATGCTCCTGTGTTTAATTTCCTATAAAAGGGTGTCGGACATTCGAGCTCTGGATATCGACGCACGTTCCTTTACTCCAAACAGTGTTATGTTTAATATCATCAGACGTACAAAGTCGAAGACCCCTTCAGTCTTCTACCCCTTTTTTCCTCACAATACTAACCTCTGCCTGGTAGCATGCCTCAAAGAGTACGAGCTACAGACCCAGCCATTCAGGAAACCAACAACACAGGACCTGGTTTTGGCTCTGAAGAAACCTCATCTCCCAGTATCCACAGTGACTCTGGCATGCTGGGTGAAATGGATAATGTCAGCTGCTAACATCGGCATATCAGTCTACGGAGCTCATTCTACTAGAGGTGTTATGGCTTTGAAGGCATTCACCGTGGGTTGTAAATTGGAAGACCTTCTCCACACAGCTGATTGGTCTCGAGAATCAACATTCAAAGAGTACTACTTTCGTCCAGCAGAACACATTTCTTCTATGGTTATCTCACAGCTTTAAACTAGCCTAGTATGAGCCTCCGTGTCCTTTAATAAAATTACCAGGTTTTACTAATTACACAACGTGAAGTCATGATTTTATGAAGGACACGGAGGCGAGTATTAGCCCACCCAAAGACGGGTAAGTCGTACGCTTTGTCTTCCTACCCAATATCAATGGCATGTATGGTTTGTCTGGACTTTAATGTGGGTTGCCAAATACTTCTAATGATTTGGTTTTTTTGCTGGACTCATGGGGGACATGTTCGATGTTATGTGCCACTCTACCTCCAAAAACTGTGTGAGTGTGTGATATCCCCACATAAAGGCAGCGTAGTTCATTCAATAGGACCATCAAGATGGAAAAATAAGGCAGTACTAGTCAGATCCCTTTTTAAAGTCCTCATCATAGGGAGGGACTGAAAATATTTTAGGTAGATAAAGGAAAAGAGAATAATAGTAGCCTACAGACAAAGTCTATACGTAAAATTCTATAAAGTGCGATAAACATCAAATTAACTTATGCTCCGTAAGAAACAGAATCATAGGACTAGCCAAGAATGCCTCTGTGAATCCTCGGCACACTGGCCAGAAAGCTTTTTGATGCAATGCACCATTCTGGCTTAGATTTTGACGTGGACCACTCCATCCTTGTGTCCCTTTATGACCAGTCTTACCTGCGTCATATTTTGGATCCACAGCTGACTGTGGCTCATTCTGGAACTCCTCTACTAGTGGGCTGTCTTGGGGGGTACTGTTGCGACCTCTGGCTCTGGCTCAGGATGCTGCCAGATACATGTCATTTTGGCTTGATTTCTGACATGGACTCCTCTCTCCCGGAGTCCTTTTATGACCAGTCTTATTGCATCATATTTTGGAGCCTCAGATTTGTTGGTAACCTACAAGACTTTTGCACACGTTCTGGCTTCAAAATGTGACAGACCAGTTAAGATGACAGATCACCCATCTGTTTGTCCATTGCCCTGTTGTGTTCTTACATACCCCAGAGAGTGTGTTTTACTAGTCTGATTTATTTGGTTACCAACTTGACTTGTTTATCATTGTCCCAGATTTCTGCTATCCTCAATCTTGGCTAGTCCTATAATTTTTTAGATATATTTTTATATTTTTATTAAAGAAGGGTAGTCGTATAATTGTGTGTCTTTCTGTGTTCCCTGACCTCAGCTTCTGCTATAAACTATTCTGTTTTTGTTTTTTTCTGTTTTCTGTCCTTAACATTATCCTGGCCATTCTATTGAACAGGAATACGTTTTCTATACTGTTTGTCTTAGGTTTGCGTGTTGGTGTTATATTGACAGAGTGTAATGGTTTTGGTGCCATAAGTGCCTAGGGGCTCTTACTGTGTAAGTAGTCAAACCGTTTGCTAATGACTTCTTACCTGGGCACCATGAGACCTGATTGCTCTCAGTTCTGAGCTAAGCACAAAGGTGCAAGGCTTAGCTTACTGGCTGAGAGCAATCAGTTATCACTCTCAGCCAATGAGCTGTCCCTGCAGAATTTAGCTCATCAAACTAAATTCTGACTCCCATTGGCAGAAGAGACGGGTGCCCGGAAGTAGGTGGTGTGGCCCTGGGTGTCCTTTGGGATCCAGGTAAGTTTTCAAATCATTCTAAAACAGTTTAACAGGGAATTTGATCAATGTGATCATGCAGAGCAGGTCTCTGCTGTTGCTGCAAAATGATGCCATGTTTCTGTCATTAGTGGACTGGTCTGAAACTGAGATGGGTGAGTTATGAGGAGGGTGAAACTAAAGAAACTCCCCTAGCTAAGAAGCTAGCTCAATAATATATAATATTTAATAGTATATTTGTTTAAAAGTGTTTGCTTGCTGGTTTAAAAAAAATAATAGTCAGGTGATGTCCCTTTAACCACTACCGTGGGTAGGAGTAGTTAATGATACTTTGAGTGTTTCTTTAAAGTGTTAAGTATGCGTAATAATGAGTAACAATGAGTATTTGTAAAAATGGTGATATTGGTAATATATTTCTATTATATGGGTAAGTGGGGTAGTTGGCAGAGTATGCTTGTGTAGGTGGGCAGCGAGTAGTAGTTGGCAGAGTATAGCACATATTCATTGAGTAACTAGGACATATGCCTGATGGGGACGCCTATTCTGCCTTTGGAAGGAACCCTCCTTATTTTCTACCTGGTGTCTGCTATTTGCTGACCAGAGCTGTGCCTGCCTAACTCTGCGATCTGTATTCAGTCTGAGGAGCCTGAGAAGTGCATGGCCCCACCTCATCAGACTTAACACAGCGAGCTGCAGGAGGGAGAGGTTTGTTCTCATAAACGACAGATACACAAACCCATACTGTTTACTACTACTACTACTAAACAGGCTGATACACAAACACACAATAGACATGCACTTGGACAGATTGCTACATATGCACACACTCTGGGTGTGTGTACTGTACATATAAGACTTTTTATCATGTTTAATCCTTTAATGACAACATGACGGTCTATGCCCTCGCCCGTTGACGATATAGACCATAATGCATTAAAAATACCAGTAGGGTTAAATACCTGGTTCGAAGGAGCCCCAGTTATCATTGGATACCTGAGGGTTCCTACTATCAGCTGGGACCACAATAAGCGGCCTCAGACTGACATATGAGCTACGTGCAGCACTCAACGTGAGTGATAAACATGGCCCATTAAATCAAAATGCTCCTAAATAACCTGAGAGATGTCTTTTTACAAATACATACTTTTGTGTAATGGTTTTGGATTCTGTGTGTAAAATAAAAGTTGTAATCTCAATGTTGTACACTTGCGACCAGGCCTCTTTTTACACTTTTGTGGTGTTTGTGTTTAGCTGTCTCATTTACTGTTCCTATACAAATTATATATTGTGTTTTTCAGGACAAAAAAGGGTTTCTTTACATACCATTATTTATATAATCTCATGTAATTTAATTTAAAAAAATAAAATAAAAAATATGATGAAAAATTTAAAAAAATACATGTTTTTTGACTTTTACTTGAAAAATCTTTTACTCATCTACAAAAGCGGATAAAAAAAACTGCTAAATAAATTCAAAATTTTGTCCTGAGTTTTAACCCCTTCAGGACCGAGGACCTAGTTACTTACCTGATCGCCGTCGTTCCCCCGGCGGCGATCAGCGTTGCTCCCGTTGTGGGGAGACTGCCTGCAGCCCAGACAGTCTCCCCACACTGGATTAGGACCCCTGTGGCCATGTGATCGCTCAACACAGCGATCACATGGTCACAATAGGTGTCCATGTGTCTGCCTGCAGGGGGACTGCCTGTGCTGACAGGCAGTCTCCATGCTAGTGTAAAAAATAAAGTTAGTGTTAATAAAAAATAAAATAAAAAATAAAATAAAAAATTATATGTGTGTGTGTGTGTGTGTATATATATATATATATATATATATATATATATATATATATATATATATAATGTACATATATTAATATAAAAATACACTTATAATTAAATTACACACGTGTGTGTGTGTGTGTGTATATAATATATATATAATAACTATATTGTGTATATATATATATATATTATAAAATATAAATAATTTAAAAAAAAATTTTTTTAATAATAAAAATTGAAAAAAAATATCTATATGAAATTTTATTCTAACTGTATTTTAAAATTAATATATATATATTTATATCAAAATACACTTAGAATGAATTTGTATATATATCTATGTATATATAAATAAAAATATTACGAAATATACATATGTCCATATACAAAATTACGTAAATAATTATATAAATATACACATAGATTTCAAATATGCATATATATTTAAATTCTACGTGCGTATTTATGTAATATTTTTACATAATTAAGTAATTTTATTGATTGCAATTTGAGGGACCTGCCTGCCAACCCAGGCCGAAAGTACAGAGAATTTAATTTGCTAGCACTGTATTTTACCCTGTAACGTTCTACGACACCCTAAAACCTGTACATGGAGGGTACTGTTTTACTCGGGAGACTTCGCTGAACACAAATATTAGTGTTTCAAAACAGTAAAACATATCACAGCGATGATATTGTCAGTGAAAGTGACTTTTTTTGCATTTTTCACACACAAACAGCACTTTTACTGATTGTTGTGATACGTTTTCCAGTTTTTAAACACTAATATTTGTGTTCAGCGATGTCTCCCGAGTAAAACAGTACCCCCCATGTACAGGTTTTATAGCATTTTTGAAAGTTACAAGGTCAAATATATGGGTCAAATATTTTTACATTGAAAATGGCCAGGTTGGTTACGTTGCCTTTGAGAGCGTATGGTAGCCCAGGAATGAGAATTACCCCCATGATGGCATACCATTTGCAAAAGAAGACAACCCAAGGTATTGCAAATGGGGTATGTCCAGTCTTTTTTAGTAACCACTTGGTCACAAACACTGGCCAAAATTAGCGTTCAATTTAGTTTTTTTACTTTTTTCACACACAAACAAATATGAATGCTTACTTTGGCCAGTGTTTTCGACTAAGTGGCTACTAAAAAAGACTGGACATACCCCATATTGAATACCCTGGGTTGTCTACTTTAAAAAAAATATGTACATGTGGGGTGTTATTCAGAGATTTATGACAGATAATAGTGTTACAATGTCACTATTGATAAATTTGAAAAATGTATGTTTTGAAACCGCAATATCCTACTTGTACCTATAGCCCTATAACATGCAAAAAAAAAAGCACGTAAACACTGGGTATTTTTAAACTCTGGACAAAATTTTAAATTTATTTAGCAGTTTTATTTTCATTCGCTTTTGTAGATGAGTAAAAGATTTTTCAAGTAAAAGTCAAAAAACATGTATTTTTTTCAATTTTTCATCATATTTTTATTTATTTTTTAATTAAAATACATGAGATTATATAAATAATGGTATGTAAAGAAAGCCCCTTTTGTCCTGAAAAAAACAATATATAATTTGTATGGGAAATACAAAAAAAAATAAATGAGCGGAAAATTACAGACAAACACAAACACCACAAAAGTGTAAAAATATGCCTTGTCGCAAATGTACAACATCGCAAAAACAGTCCAGCCCTTAAGGAGTTAAAGCCAAAACTTGAAAAAAGGCAAAATGTGGCATTGTGAGATTACAACTTTTATTTTACGCACAGAATCCAAAACCATTACACAAAAGTATGTATTTGTAAAAAAACATCTCTCAGGTTATTTAGGAGCATTTTGATTTAATGGGCCATGTTTATCACTCACATTGAGTGCTGCACGTAGCTCATATGTCAGTCTGTGGCCGCTTATTGTGGTCCCAGCTGATAGTAGGAACCCTCAGGTATCCAATGATAACTGGGGCTCCTTCGAACCAGGTATTTAACCCTACTGGTATTTTTAATGCATTACGGTCTATATAGTCAACGGGCGAGGGCATAGATCGTCATGTTGTCATTAAAGGATTAAACATGATAAAAAGTCTTATATGTACAGTACACACACCCAGAGTTATAGGGCTATAGGCACAAGTAGGATATTGCGGTTTCAAAACATACATTTTTTTCAAATGTATCAATAGTGACATTGTAACACTATTATCTGTCATAAATCTCTGAATAACACCCCACATGTCTACTTTTAAAAAAATATGTACAACCCAGGGTATTCAATATGGGGTATGTCCAGTTTTTTTTACTAGCCACCTAGTCGCACTGGCCAAAGTTAGCGTTCATATTTGTATGTGTGTGAAAAAAGTAAAAAACTATTTTGGCCAGTGTTTGTGACTAAGCGGCTACTAAAAAAGACTGGACATACCCCATTTGCAATACCTTGGGTTGTCTTCTTTTGCAAATGGTATACCATCATGGGGGTAATTCTCATTCCTGGGCTACCATACGCTTTTCAAAGACAACGTAACCAACCTGGCCATTTTCAATGTAAAAATATTTGACCCATATATTTGACCCTGTAACTTTCAAAAACGCTATAAAATCTGTACATGGGGGGTACTGTTATACTTGGGAGACTTTGCTGAACACAAATATTAGTGTTTCAAAACAGGGAAAACGTATCACAACAATTATATCATCAGTAAAAGTGCTGTTTGTGTGTGAAAAATACGAAAAAAGTCACTTTCACTGACAATATCATTGCTGTAATATGTTTTACTGTTCTGAATCACTAATATTTGTGTTTAGCGAAGTCTCCTGAGTAAAACGGTACCCCCATGTACAGGTTTTAGGGTGTCATAGAAAGTTACAGGGTAAAATACAGAGCTAGCAAATTAAATTCTCTGGACTTTCGGCCTGGGTTGGCAGGCAGGTCCCTCAAACTGCAATTTATAAAATTACTTATTTATGTAAAAATATTACATAAATACACATGTAGAATTTAAATATATATGCATATTTATATATTTGAAGTCTACGTGTATATTTATATAATTATTTATGTAATTTTTTATATGGACATATGTATATTTCGTATTATATTTTATATATACATAGATATATATACAATTTCATTCTAAGTGTATTTTGATATAAATATATATATTTTAATATCAAAATAAAGTTAGAATAAAATTTCATATAGATATATAATTTTTTTTACATTTTTATAATTTTGCATTTTTTAATTTAATTTAATCTACTTATTTGTATTTTATAATATATATATATATACACACAATATATAGTTATTATATATATGTGTGTGTAATTTAATTATAAGTGTATTTTTATACAGAAACACACTTTGCATTCCATATGCATACAAACACAGATTCACACAATGCATCCCTTACACACAACAAGAAACACACAATACATCCCTTATACACTAACACTCACTGAAAGGGTTAATGCTGTAATGGACTCTAATCCTCTCGGTTCTCGATCCCTCGGTCACCATAATCATGTTGATGGAGAATCATTGTCAGCAATAAGACACGGACAACAGGATAGTTGACAAGACTCTCAAATGAGTGTATTCCAGAGCTGGCTTTTATACATAGTTTGCTTACATTAGCCATGGTATATGCCATTCATTACAGTACAGACTATAAGATTTATTACTTCCTTATATTACGTTATTCTGACAATGGAAAGATAAGCTTTTGCATACGTCTGGAAAAGAATATCCTTAAAATCGGAATGGGCAAGACATCCTGAAATTTAGCATTGTCTTACATCCTATAGAAGAAATACCTTAGTCTGTCACAGTCAGCATATTATGTCGTAAATTGAGTTTAACTATTTCATATGCTTTCAGTCAGCAATAATATTTATAAACCTTATAAAAGCATAAAATACATATAAACAAGGAAACTATTTAATATTCTTACACTCACTGCTTTCTAGTCCTTACACAAAAACACACTGCTTCCACTACACACAAACACACTGCATCACCTACATAAACTGGTATCCCTATACACTACATTCCATAAGCACACACATTAGATCCTCTACAGTAACACATAACACATCCCCTACACACTCCACTCCCTGTGAGCGAAGTCATGGGTGGAACATGTAGGTGGACTTATGGGTGGGCTTTATGGGCATACTCACCGTCAGGCCCTGGGGCCAGACCTTGAGTTATGTAAGAGGCCCCCAAAAAATGGAGCTGCTTCCCGTTCTCCCAGAACATTGACGTTTGTGACCACAGTTACAAACAGCCTCCAGAGATCCTGTTCTACACCAGACCAGTGGAGCCAGACTGCAGCCAGATCCCTTCACCATCCTCATCTGATTGTAAGTAGGCAATCTAGTATATTATTAGTGACACTAATCTCTAATTTACCTCACATTAACTGGACACAATAGTCCCCAGAACCACTGCGGCTTAATAAAGTTGTTCTGGTGTCTATAGTTTGTCCCTGCAGGCTTTTTAATGTAAACACACACTGTGTGCAGCACTGGCATTAGTTCCATAGGCGTGCGCAGCCTATTGCATTAGGGTGTGCACCCTAAAGCACAAGCACATGCCGCATATACATATATGTATGTATGTATATACACATATATACACACATACACACACTGCTGTGTGAGGGTGCTGTTAGTATGATGTGTGTGTGACGGTGCTGGTAGTGTGCTATGTGGGTGAGGGTGTTTGTGTGTGCGCGCTTGTGAGGGTGCTGTTAATGTACTCTGTGTGAGGGTGCTGTTTGTGTGTGTGTGTGTGTGTGCTTGTGAGGGTGCTGTTTGTGTGTGAGGGTACTGGTAGTGTGCTGTGTGTGTGTGTTAGGGTCCTGTTTGTGAGGGTACTGTTAGTGTGCTGTGTGTGAGGGTGCTGTTTGTGTGCTGTGTGTGCTTGTGAGGGTGCTGTAGGTGTGTTGGTGCTGTGTATGTCTGTGGGTGCTCTGTATGTCTGTGGGTGCTGTATGTGTGTAGGTGCTGTGTATGTCTGTGGGTGCTGTATGTGTGTTGGCGCTGTGTATGTCTGTGGGTGCTGTGTATGTGTGTGCAGGTGCTGTGTATGTCTGTGGGTGCTGTATGTGTGTGGGTGCTGTGTGTGGGTGGCATATGGCTGTGGGTGCTGTATGTGTGTTGGTGCTGTGTATGGCTGTGGGTGCTGTATGTGTGTTGGTGCTGTGTATGGCTGTGGGTGCTGTGTGTGTGTTGGTGCTGTGTGTGTGTCTGTGTTGTGTATGTGTGTGGGTGCTGTGTATGTGTGTGTGTGTGCTGTACGTGTGGGGGTGGAGGTGGGGGTACATTACTTGATATCCTCCCTCCCTTCTTACCTTTTGTAGGGAGGGGGGATCCTTGTTGCTGCTGATTCCATCCCTGGTGGTCCAGTGGAGAGTGAACTCTAGCCCCTGTGGCCATCTTTCTTTTGCTTAGGACGGCAAAAATCCTTGCACCGGCCCTGCTTCTGATAGGCCAGAGCCTGTTTGGCTTTAGCAGCCCGGAGTGCTGTGCAAAGACACCACAAGTGCCGTGCATGGCACATGTGCCATAGGTTGCCTACCCCTGTCCTAGGCAGTAATGTAAATACTGCTTTTTCTCTGAAAAGACAGTGTTTACATTATAAAGCCTGCAAGGACATGCTGTAGACACTAGAACAACTACATTATTATTATGTTATTATTTATATAGCGCCATCAAACTCTGCAGCGCTTTACAATGGATATTAAAGGGATATTCCAGGCACCAAAATAGTTTTATCTAAATAAAGTTGTTATGGTGCCTGGAGACCATTTTATCTCGGGTATCCTAAGATGCTGCCACCAGTGAACACACAAACACACACCACCACCACCACCTCCTGAATTTTCAGTCAGCTGACGCTCTCAGGCAATCATTGACCCATTCACAAAACTGGCTTGAAAAATGTAAGTTTCTTTCCAAGCCAGTTTGGGGAATGAGGAGTCACTGATTCAATTGCCCGGTGGCACTTCGCACTTCCTAACACTTAGGTGTTAAACCATATAAGAAAAGTTTAACACATTGAGGTAAGCGGGAATCCTGGCACCATAACATCTTTATTTATATGAAGTTGTTTTGGTGTCTGGAGTGTCCCTTTAAGTCGTAGTGTTTCTGGCGACAATATTTAAGGTAAGAAATGTTCCAATTGGCATCATAACTGCTTGATAATATTGAAGTTGTTATGGTTGCAAAGTGCTCCTTTCAATATACAATTCACTTTGATGCCCCACAATTCTCACTTTGTTAAATAACTAATTCGAGTTTGAATTCACTATAAGTGGTGGGTATAATAAATAAACCTGTCTCGTTACCCATGATAGCACCATTGAAGTCACTATACTATATAGGCCCATCCTTGGGGGCGCTGAAGATCCCTCTAAATAGCAGCCAAGGGGTTAATAGCCGGAGATACCGCACGCCCCTTTGTGACTCTTCCTTGCAATCGGCGTTCAAGCTGGAGATCATTTATAGCATCCAATCACCGTGCCGCTTTCATTTACTAGCTCGCAGTGCCGTTAGAAGCGAGGCTGTGATTGGCTGGTGTCGGGATGCTCTTGCTGGAGACTGAGGCTGTGTGAGTGCCCTGCAGCCAGCGAGCAGTCCCTGGGTGGGTGATGGTCTGTGTAATGAGGGGGTTTATTTTATCTTCAATGTGTTATTTGTTCGGAGGTTGTATGAATGTAATGCAATATACTATGTCAGTGGTAGTTTAAATGTGGTATGTGCTCTCAATGTGAATATTCTTTGTGCCTAATGGTAATAATATAGTGTGTGTCTTATTAATGTGAATATACTGTGTGTCTAATGGTAATATACTATGTGTCTAATGGTAATAACATACTGTGTGTCTAATGGTAATAATATACTGTGTCTAATGGTAATAACATACGGTGTGCCTAATGGTAATATACTGTGTGTCTAATGGTAATATACTGTGTGTCTAATGTGTACATACTGTGTGTCTAATGGTAATATACTGTGTGTCTTATTAATGTGTACATACTGTGTGCCTTATTAATGTGTATTATACTGTGTGTCTTATTAATGTGTATATACTGTGTGCCTTATTAATGTGTATTATACTGTGTGTCTTATTAATGTGTATATACTGTGTGTCTTATTAATGTGTATTATACTGTGTGCCTTATGGTACTATACTGTGTGTCTTATTAGTGTGTGTGTGTGTGTGTGTGTGTGTATACTGTGTGCCTTATGGTACTATACTGTGTGTCTTATTAATGTGTATATACTGTGTGTCTTATTAATGTGTATTATACTGTGTGCCTTATGGTACTATACTGTGTGTCTTATTAATGTGTATATACTGTGTGTCTTATTAATGTGTATTATACTGTGTGCCTTATTAATGTGTATTATACTGTGTGCCTTATGGTACTATACTGTGTGTCTTATTAATGTGTATTATACTGTGTGCCTTATTAATGGTAATATACTGTACCTCATTTGACTATACTGTATGTCTTATTAACGTGTATATACCGTATGTATTAATGGTATACTGTACCTTATTAATAGGACTATACTGTATGTCTTATTATTGTGACTATATTGCATGTTTCTTTATCAGTATGAATATGATGTATGCCTTTTTAGTTGTAATGTGATGAATTATGCCTGCTTTGTTGTGCTGTGAATGTGCTGTGTGGCCTATTCACTGTGTTTTGGTTGTATTATGTTTTTGTACTTTTTTTTTTTTTTTTTTTTATTTTTTTTTTTTGAGGGGGAAAAAATGGTTTCTAGATCTGATCCCTCATCCTAATGGTAAACCCTAACCTTGAACTATGCTAACCTTAACTTGTTCATAGCTGCTGCTGAAATCATAAAATACTTTTATCTGAAATTTGGGAGCTGCTATGAAAAAAAATAAAAAAAAATCTTAAGTAATCTAGATTTTATTTTTTTGTGTGTGTTTTGTCTGTGGTGTGTGTATTTAAAAATATATATATATATTTTTTTAATTTGTACGGTTTTGTAATATAGACATTTGTAGTTATTTTCTGGTCTCTGTGTCTGCCAGGCAATGTCCCTATAGCATGGTCCTTGTACAAACCCAGATATGATGCTGTGTCCGTGTGTCCTACACAAGGTAAGCTTGTTGTTGCTCCCTGTTCTGCTTTGCTCTTTAATGTTGTATAGTCAATGTGCTTTATGAACTTAACCGGTGTTGTGCCACTAATATTCTTGACCAATATGTTGCCAAAAGAAAAAAAACAAACAAAATACAGACACCCCTTGTACAGCACAAAAAAACCAAAATGATCCCATTTAGAAGGGCACTAATTGGGACAATCAGTTCATTATAGCAAAGAAAATTAAAGTATCTTTAATAAATACATATATGATAACGCACGGAGTATAGCCACCCTAAAAAAATAATAAATGTGTCTGTGACAGCGTAGTGTAAAGTATGAAAGACCCACTGATACAAATTTCATCATTATGAAGAGAATAGCTGCCATATCAACAATGCCTCACTGTAACCTGCTTGACATAAATGGGGTTACATTAATCACACCAAAACTATATAGAGCGGATGTAAGATATGATCGTGTTTTTTGTCTTTGTTTTTTACTTCAAGCTAGTTACAGTGCAAGAATGATGTAGATTTGGCAGCTGCCCCCCTCTTAATAATGACATTTATGTCAGGGCTTAAAATGAATGTCCGCTGCTCCAAGGGGGATTGCAAGTCTTTCATTCTTTATACTACATTGTCGCAATCACAGACACTTTTTTAAAATTATTTCATAGAAGTGGCTGTTCTCCATTTGTTGTTAATGTATTTAATAAAGATACATTTTTTTTCTCAATTTAATTCTATCAACTGACCCATATTGTACCCTTTTAGGAATTAGATGTTACCCCTGTAAATTTTTATGTTTTTTTTAATACAGGTGACATGTTGCCTACCTCTTCTGGGCTCTTTGTGGACCCCGAGTTCCCTGCCAGTGTCTCCTCTTTGATATGTGGTGCTGGCACACCACTTTCCATTCTTTGCGACCGCATTACGTGGTTAAGACCACAGGTAAGCATGCTCTGCACATTTAAATTAATGGGGTAAGGAACCTTCTTGCATTTTAAAATACCTCTTACATTCTAGGAGTATGTCTAACTTATGAAATTGTAAATACTTGCAGGAGATAATTGCATCGCCACGTTTATTTCCATTGAATGCCAGAGATGGTTTGGGCAAACAAGGGATTCTTGGTGATTGCTGGTTTATATGTGCCTGCTCTGCGCTACAAAAATGTGAAAAGCTTCTCCGTCAGGTAATGAAGAAAACCCCAAAACCCATAGGTTTCTTCTTCTTTCTTCCACTAATGCCCAACTTGAACTAAAAGTTTTTCTGATTACCTTTCACCATATAAATATCGCTATTGTGAAAACTGTAGTACATATTTTAATGTTGGCATTAGCTAATTATGATTTCTAAGCTAGAAACCTGACCAACCTTCATCCAGGTATATTCAGCTTTTTGTAAAAATTAATTTAAATAAAATAAAACCAGCATAATTACCAGCTCTTGGTAGAATTTCTTTTTCAAGGCTTGGCGATGTATTCCACGAAATGGTGAATGTAGGTATGAATGAGAATTGTGGGAAATACAAAAGTTTTCAGTTGGAGAGACAAGTGTTAAGATTTTTCAAAGTTCCAGAATTGGAAGAGAGAGAGAAAATTAAGTGTTCCAGATGTTAGACCCGTGATCCCTCTCTCTCCTTTGTCCTTAATTTAATTTTTTTTTTTTTTTAAATTCTTTATTTTTTTATTATGCAGGGGTTAACAAGCATTTTGATAATGCCACAACAGCGTAGTTAAGAGAGAAATAAACACACTTTTGTACATTTATGACATGGAAATGGCTGTACATTTTTATAGATTATTTTAAACAAGCTTATGCATGCACTTCTATTTGTAGCACAGTAGTGTGAAATTGATTAGAACACATAATGCAAGTTGCCGATTTGCTCGACCATGCGTGTCAAACATGCTTAACTGTAGTTACGATACACAATACTGAAAACCATGCTTAAAGAAATAAAATACTGATAGCGTATATGTTAGGCCATGCTTTTGTAATAGAGATATGCGCGTGTGTAAGCTTAAAACATGTATATCTACAATAAGTGTACCTCCGTGGGCACTGTGAGAGCATGTTTATCCGCATTTACTGAAGGAACGAATAGGGATGATCCAACCGTGTGTTAGGGCGGGTGTGATCGCTAGGTGATGATATAGTGTGCTGGTATAGGTTACAGCTTAGGTGCTATGGTGCTAGACTGCGTAATTGTATATATGTAGAGTATAAAGACATTATATGTCGTGGGTTAACAGGCTAGGCATGCATGTGAGCGTAAGTCTTTTTCTGGGCAGCGTTCATTTTTGAGTGTGGGGATGACCGCCCGTATGCTGTTTAGTCACCCCATTCCTTCAGGTGGGAACTGTGTCAGCGGTATCAGGTGTTCAGAGGTTGGCGGTCGGCCAGGAGCTAACTGGTTGCGCCCTCCAGCTCCAGGCCTGTAGCAAGGCCGGCATCTCGTAGCCGGGGACTTCTGAAGACCGGGTCCTTCCCTGTCTGGACAGGTCTGGAGGCCTTAGTGTTTGTGTTGTGCTGCCTTCGGTGGGCAGGTCTCCGCCTGCGTGGTTGATGCGTCGGGGTTGTTCCCCAGGTGGCCTTCAGCCCAGATGGGCTAGTGTGGAGAGTTGTGGACTGCTTTTTCAAAGCTTTGCCCGAGGGTAGCCCAGTCCCACTCCGGTTGCTGCCGCTTTGTCGACCCTCCATGCTCCAGCTCTCCTGCAGCTGCGCCGCCGCGTGTCGGGCCTCAATCCGTACCCAGAAAGCCTCAAACAGCTCGTTCATGCGGGTGGTCAGTGTATCGTTTGTGCTGAGGTTGTATTCCAGAGGCCCATATCCTCCATATGATTGCGCGTCCGCCATTTTAGTGTGACGAGTCGCCTGCACGCATGGTGAGCTATTGGGGCTGGATCCCGCGTTTGGGGTCCACTGAGGCATGCTGATTAAGACGATTGGGACCGGGATAACCCCCACCGGTCCTGAGGGGGGGCAGCTGGGTGCTGCGGATGCTGCGTGCGTTCTGTCTCTCCCCTGCCCTGCTTGGTGTAGGCCCCAGGCTTCAGCTCGGTCATTCCAGCGGGCATTCTGGGCGTGTGAGGTATCCCCCAGTTCACCAGTTTCTGCGGAGCAAGTTTGGGTTCAAGGTAAGGCGATTTGCCCACGATTTCAGCCGATAATCAGGCCCAGGCCCAGGCGCTCATGGCTAGTGTGTCTGTTCAGCTCCACAGTCAGGCCTCACCCCCTGTCCTTAATTTTTAAAAGGGAATCCTCCTTTACGTCATTAGTTTCAGTGACCAATCGAGTACGGCTGGCGTGTCTTTCCTACAGACTATCATCTAGATTTTGGTCAGTAGATGGTGCAATTGCATCACCAAAATTCTTGTGAGGAAGTCCAATTATCACTTTGTATAATGGGTTAACTGAATTTCGTGATGCGTTTGATGTCATCTTGGTTATCTTTTATGGATAACCGTCCATCAAAACCTGTCAGACTTTAAAGGCTTTTCTTAGTCTGACTGTCTCCTTTTTGGTCCATAAAATTAGATTTTGACACCCCTGAACCCTTGTTCACCCTCTTAATACAATGAAACTTTGTATCAGGTACTTAATATTTAAAAAATATAATTACTTTTGATGTTATCTGCCATTGGTAATCATGTGTCTGGTTTTCTTGTGTGAAGCTACATAGTAATGTGACAGCATGTGATTTATATACATGTCTATTACACACATTCAGACAATGTTAGTTTAATAATATGACATCTCTTCGTTGATATTCTATCCATGAATATTCTATAGTATTAACATAGTACTATTTATAGTTAGTTATATGTGGACTGTGTGTGTGTGTGTGTGTGTGTGTTTCTGGGCTGTTACTTTTTCTTTTCAACCCCCCTTCTTACAAGCATAAGATCTTATCTCAACAGTGTTTAAGTTAGATGCATTCCTCTGGTTAGGGCAGAATAGAGTTACAGAGAGAGAAAAAGTGTTTTTATTTTTTTTGTATTCTGTTACAAAATTGAGTCCCTTTGTTATAATGGTGCCTTACAGTATACATTTTTAATGTCTTTCTTAACACAAAATGTCTGCCAGTGTAGGTACCCTGACAGTTCTAATAATAATTTTTTGTAGTTTATTCTACAATTTATTTTTTTCTGTTCAAGCTCCCTGCCATTGTCATTTCTTGCTTTATTCCCACATTTATAACCATACCTTTCATACTATCTTCTTTTCCAGGTATTTCCTGTAGGCCAGTGCCTCTGGACAGACCCTGGATATACTGGTAAATTCACTTGCCGGTTTTGGAGATTTGGCTTTTGGGTGGAAGTGACCATTGATGACCGTTTGCCATGCCTGGGACATAAGCTCTGCTTTTCTCATTGTCAAGACCAAGGATCCTTTTGGCTGCCACTTCTTGAGAAAGCATATGCCAAGTATGAGAATATATGTCACCAGTGGATATTGATCTGATGTGATTCTAATCTAGATGGTGGTGTTTACTTATGATAGATGAAGGGTCTCATGTATTGGAGGATGGGGTTTGCATATGAATGTTTCCTTGGTGTTCTTCTCTAACCATAGTTATCTGTGCTTCCTAATTTATCTACAGACTGCATGGTTGCTATGAGAGTCTGTGGGCAGGGCAGGTGGCTGATGCTTTGGTGGATCTGACTGGAGGGCTGGTTGAAAGATGGGCTTTTGGAGCTGGAGAAGAGCATGTTCGGAGAGAAATGTTCAACAAGATGCTGGAGCTAAAAGAGAGATGTGCAATGACTTGCTCGGTGCTACACTACAGAGAAGGTTAAAGAATATTACAGCCTTCATGTCCTATGTCTTATATGTTGACCTTATGTTCTTGTCTTTACTTTAATTGTATGTACCTTTCACACATCTATTTAAACATTTGTTTCACTCTCCTCTGCATCTTTGCTCATCCGGACTCTTCGCCCTTCTCACCAGTGCCTTCAGTCATTGCGTTTTTTCATTGTCTTGCTCCTTTGCTGGTGCTCTTTTTGTATGTTTAAAAGCATCTATCAGTCCTTCATATGCACTCTTTTATTTTCACTTCGATTTAAAATGCTTTTTTGTTTTTGCTGTTGTGTTTTTTTTTTTGTTTGTTTTTTTGCATAGGAGCAAAAGAGCTGGGTGAATTTCATGCATTTACCATCACAGACATCCAAAATGTAGTGGCAAAGGATGGCCAGGAGTTGCTAATGCTTCGTGTGCACAATCCGTGGGGGCGATGCTGTTGGGATGGATCTTGGAGCAAGAGGTTTGTGGATTGGGGGAGAAATAGCCAATTGCTTTATTTTTTTCTTGATCAGAAGTTACTATTTTTAATATTTCTCATTTAAATTTACTTTTTATCAAGGACTAATTTTAGACCTTGTTCTTCTTCTCTCCCAGTGGTCATGGATGGGATATCTTCAGCCCTAAAGTGGTTTCCAACCTCCAGTCTAAGATGCAGGAAGGAGAGTTTTGGGTGGAGAAGTCAGAATTTATACAGGATTTTGATGAACTCACAATGGCATTTCCAGTCAATGAGAAGGGGCAAATTCTAAATATCTGGTCAGGTGAGAAACTCTACAGTGAGCATTTTGAAGGCAGAAAGAACCAAGATTGGATTGGCCAGTGCCACTTGCCATGGGATCTCTACCTCTTAACGCTATAAGCTACGAATGGCTGGGGGAAACGTCTGTCGGTAACGTCTATCATACCTGAAAGGAGCCATAGCTGCATATATTGAAGAGCCTAAAAACCAATCATATCCATGTACTCATCAGTACATTATTTCTACCACGTGTTGTTCATAAACATAAATAAATTGGTAAATATAAGCAATATTTACTTTGTAATCTGTGCATTTTTATAAACTTTTAAAGTGACCCCCGAAAAAAGTGTTTTCCAAATCAAGATGTATTTTACCATTTATAGATCTCTTAAATTTGTGGCCATGCAGTTTAACCATTGCTGTCCTTTTTGTCAGGTTTGCCATTAATCAGCACTCAGGAGGTATATGGTTCATGGGTTAAAGGTCAGAGCGCTGGTGGATCCCGCAACAATGTCAGCTTTCCAGACAACCCCAAGTTCTGGCTTCGTGTGAAAGAACAGTGCCAGGTGTACCTGACACTAAATCAAAGACCACTGCATGGTACAGGAGCTACACAAAACAAAGATTCACTGTATGCTATTGGACTCCATGTCTGGAAGGTAACTATAAATAGAATGGTCAACTATGCCATTTGTGCCCTGTTTTGAAATGACAATATAATTTAACTTTACAAATTATATACTGCATGCCTTGTCATAGCAATATTTTCATGAAGTCAGGATGTTTATAAGACCTAACGAACCTGCTATATTAAAAGCTACTACTTATACTACTACTATAATAAATCTATTTAATATTTATGTAAAACCACAGAGCTCTGTTTTTCTGAAGTTACTTTCAGGACGGGTCCAGCTACAGGTTATAAATTGTTCAAAATTATTATTGTTGTACTATCACCATAAAACAACATAAACAGATGCATTCTTAGTTATAAATTGTCTTCATTCTGTATGGTAAGAGCACCTGACTCCATGACATTTTTGTTTTTTTTATTTTATTTCTCTCTTCTTCTTGCCTTCCTTCATGCTTAATGGATAAACTGTGTTATTCTTGAAAGAAATGATCTTTCAACTAACTAAGATCAACTTAGTAAAATAATTTAAAAAAAATATTAAGATTATTTTTTTGTTTAAACATGAAGATGTAATGAAGCCAAAGCCTTGTCATCCACCTGGTAGGATGCACACCGCCTTAGCAGAATAGAGTTATCAGTTTTGATAATGTGCACCCTGGAATTAATATATTTTATCATATGCTCTGAAATAATCTAGTTTAATAGGCACCCTAAAAAAAAATGATCTATGTTTTATCTATTTATTCCCCCCAGGTTGAGAAGCGCAAGTTTAACCTGACTAAGACTCTCTCATCACCTCCCGTGGTCGGTACCTCCTCTCACTCATATGAACGTCAATTTCACCTGTACTGTGAATTGTCACCAGGTTATCACCTGCTTGTTCCGAGCACTTTTCTACGAGACACTGAGGCGGATTTCCTTTTGCGTGTCCTGTCCACTGGGCATGTAACTCTCAGGTTGTATAGAATTAACTACTGATTACGTCTACACAATGCTCTGTTGAGTTTGCTTTATTTAGTTATTGTATTCTAATCCAGCCTTCTCCTAATTTCTATGCGAAGGATAAGATGCAGGAAGTAACTAGTTTTTAAGAGCTTAATGTAGTGGTCTTTGTGACTAGATGCAGTCCATGCAGTCTTACAATTGTAATTATTGCCATTTCAGAAAGACAACCATGTTTCCATTTATTTGGCAGTATACCTCTAGTAGCTATCAATCACACTCCTAGCAGAGGCACTTTCTCCTAGAATGCCTTCTTTTCTAAAGTTATTCACAGACTGGGTCATGACGCAGATCATTGTTAAATTTCCTCCTTGAGAATCATTAAGATAATCATGAGGAGAGCTCGTTAGACCAGTGTGGTGATTGCCATGCATGCTCCGTGGGGCCGCAGTGTGAAGCATTGGATTGACATGGGATCCTCTATACAGAGTGGTAGCCACAGCGAGGCAAGGATGCTACTAAATTATAGATCTGTATTCGTAAAAAAAAAAAAAAATATGAGGTATCCAAAGAGGTAGCAGCACTCATGGAATATAAATGTTCTAGTCTTTATTAATTCATTTAAAAAAAATATCCCCATCAACATTTCAGTCCACCAAACGGGACTTTCCTCAGGATCAATACAATAACACAATCAAAATGGCAAACATATATAGCAAAATGCATTAGACAAATTGGCTTACCCCCAGGTGAAGTGCATTCCCGGTCGGCGTCTGTGTTGCCCTGTGCACATGTGCAAATAAGCTCCGCCCTGTGACGTTATGACGTCATCGCGCCCGTTTCCATGACGACACGATACAAACGTGGTCGCCATGGGAATAGGGTTGCGGTTGCCTGAATGCAGTGCAATGTGTTGCTCATTCTAAGGAGTGAGGGGAATGAATGGAAAAGGATGAAATACTTATAAAATGCATAATAGAGTATACAGTACGAAGTGCTGAATCTGTTAAGGCAACCACTGTTGCTGTGGTTTAAAAACGATCATATAAAGTGACAAAGTGCCTGCTCAAGATAATTAATTATAACGTGCGAGTGTGGTAGGGACAAAAAAATGTCAGTGTCAAAAGTGCAAACTGATAATAAATAAAGTGCTTAGTGAATAAATCTCGAGGGTCTAAATAAATATACATAGATACACAAAACATATAACTAGAAAGACACTTATCTGTAGTAACTATAGCCATATATACACAGCACCCATAATGGGTTTGGCGCTCTAAAATGAGCAAGGCTGCTAAAGTACTTGGTGCAGACTTTATGAATTCAACTGGTAAATCAACTTACCTTAAGACAAACATATTATACAGTATAGGAATTGTTTTAAAGCAACTCCTTATAAGTCTGCTCAATATGTGACTTATTCATTATGTACCAGCAATTATGGCATAGTATAACTGATAAGTGTCTTACATCACTATCACATGTAACTTAATACGAAAACATATATTCAACACATTGCTACAAATACCTAACAAATATTATAAAAAATATATTGTTAAAAAATTAATTTTCAAACTGGAGTTAAGACTCATATAAACAAATGAAATCAGTTTCATTGAGTCCCTTTGGAGACACAGTGTCTAGTTCAGAAATCCAGAATGTTTCACAGTTGAGCAATGTTTTCCCATGGTAACCCGCTCTGCGAGATAGGGGCACATGATCTATGCCCAAGAATTTCAGGGAAGCCAATGAATGCTTATACTGCAAAAAGTGCTTAGCTACCGGTTTATCCGACAGATCATCTCTATAGGCCAACCTAATGCTAGAGCGATGGCCCCTAATCCTTTCACACAGGGCGGTTTCTGTTTTTCCAATATAAACAGTCCACATGGGCATGTAAGTTTATAAATGATATGTGTGGTTTTACATGTAATAGTATATTGTATGATATACTTCTTAGTCGTATGCGGGTGAGTAAAACTTTTAGAGGGTGTCATATGCCCACACGTCACACATCCCAGACAGCGTACTGACCCCCTATTTTGAGTATTAGTTTCCTTGGCATAGCTTCTGAGTGGGTCTGTGTGTACCAGTAAGTCCTTCAAGTTTTTATTTCTCTTGTGACATATTAGTGGCTTTTCATGGAACACTTTTGGGAGCGTGTCGTCCGTGGCCAATATTCTCCCATTTTTACGGATAGCTGAAGAGATCTGGGGACTTGAGTCAAATCTTTCCAAAACTTTGCTAAGGGTTTGGTTGTGATATCCATGATTCAAAAATTTGTTAGTCATTTCCCTTATCTGCATTTCTTTTACTGTATCATTAGAGTTATTCCTCATTACTCTGAGATACTGTGCTTTAGGTAAGGACCTCTTCAAAGCTTTCGGATGCGCACTTTGTGCATGGAGTAAGGTGTTACGATCCGTATCTTTGGTGTAAAGACAATATTCAATGTTGTTTGCCCCATAGATAATTCAACATCCAAATATTGAACCTTGATAGGACTGATATTCACTGTCAGTCTTATCTGTGTTGGCAGTAAATTCAGTTGCCCAACCATATTGCGTGCCTCAATTAGTGTGCCATTCCAGATAACCAACAGATCGTCAATGAAACGATAATATCCTTGTATCAAATGAGCATATGTTGACAAGATGTTGTTTTGCTCATAGACCTACATGTACGCGTACATGTACATGTACTCTTGGATACCTGGATAACCAAGCCCTGGCTTAGCACCCGGCACACAATGCATATTATAGCTTGAGTGCAAGAACTTCTCCCTTTTTTTTTTCTTTCTCTCTCTCTCACACACATACATATCTCTCTCAATAATCCGTATCGCCTCTAAAAATTTTTTTTTTTAAATTAAATGGTTGATCCCTATTTTACATTATCCTACTAAAGAGATAGGAGAGTCTATGCACCAAAACCACTACATTAAAATGTAGTGAAATCGGTGCTTACAGTGCCTTTTTACAGTCAAATGTCCAGATAAGTGTAGAGGGTTAGAAAATGCACCAAACAATTAATAAATTCACAACAAATGGTAAATTAAAATAAATGCAAAAAAAAAAAAAATACACAGGTTAAAAATGATATTTTTTATAGTGGCATAGTTGTAGCTGATCAGTTCTGGATGCAGTAGATATGATCTTTGAGCAAGAAGCAGATTAAGAATCCATCTGGGGAAATACATGTATCAGATGGAATTGTGTGCTGCCTGCCTGACTCTGCATCATATTGGTTTGTTTGAATTATACAGTGAAATTGTTCCTCCACGGTCAATGGCACCAGCCAGTGAAGATGTTACCCAAAGGAGCTGGGACATTCAGACATTGCAAGGAAGCTGGAAGAAAGGCAAGAATGCTGGTGGGAGCAGGAACTTTCCATCTTACCACCTTAACCCATCTTTGCCTTTCTCTGTGCCCAAAGAATGCCAGTTAGTAAAAGTGACTCTGCTCCAGCAGTGTCAGGAGGACAAATGCCACGCAATCGGGTTCCATGTATACTCGGTGAGTTACTGCTTGGAAATTAGAAAATCTAATTGTGCACTACAAATTATATAATATATATATTATAATTCCAGTGGTGTAGGAGGATATAGACTAAACCTTTTTAGCAAGTTTCATTAATTGCTTTGCATCTCAACTTAGGAATGTATTAGACTTGTCAAATTAGCAAAACCTTTATTGCTAAGGACATTTGGAATTCACAAAACTGCTTGAGTAGTTTGAAATGTTAATGGAAAATGTATTTATGCATGTTTGTAACTGTCATTTATTTATATCCTTTTTAGTTGGCACTGGATGAACTTAAAGTCTTATTGCAATAATTTACTGTTTTAAACAATATATTTCCCTTCTTCCTACAATTTCTTTATCCTTCATCTATCAGGTCTCTAGAGATAAACAGAAGTCTCCTCTTTCTGGAGAGCCTAGTGCTAGCTGTGTACCTCACAGCCACTCTCAGGAAGTGTCCCAGGTCTGCGTGCTTTCCCCTGGCAAATATCTACTTGTGCCTTCCACTTACCTACCTGAGCAGGAGTGTGGTTTCACTGTAACCATAGCTACTAAAGTTGACCGGTAACTCTGCATTGTCTCCCATAACTGATAGAACTACATTTAATTTTTTTCTGTGCAGCATAACAAACTATGCTTTGTATTTCTTCTCAGGAAACCAATTGAGAGCCAGGAAACCTTGGGACGATTCCTGCAAGAGGTAAAAAAAGAGATTTCAATTATTTTTTTTTTTGTGTGTGTGCTAGTTTTTATTTTGCATTTAAAGTTTGAGTTTTCTTTCTTGACTGTTAATATCGATTTAAATGTACAAGTTGTATTGTGGGGATTACGGCATTGATGTCTAAATAGTACATGCGATACTATTGCCGTGTATTGCACAATGAGATGTTGACTTTCCATACCTGTATCCTCAAGCTGTCGCTAGTTGTCATACTGCACTAATGTATCTCTGGCATTGTCTACACTGCCAGCTTGCTATACTGGAGACTTAAAGCCAACTGCAGCCTCGAGATACTTTGATGTATTTTGCTTCTCTGACTTAATCTTGTACAATGTTATTTACCTTGTATTGTGACAGATAACAGTCTTTAATAAAAATTTTTAAAAAGTGTGGGTACAATATGAAAAGTACAGCACACTCCAGTCCAAACAAGCCTTTAATAATTTAAAGTTTATGAAAGCAACTTTCTTAAGTCTAATTATGAGATTTCTTTTTCAATGTGTTTTTTTTGTGAGAAATCTATATACACACACTAGTGACTTCTGCGTTACCCAACCTTAAAAAAACAAAAAAACAAAAAACAAAGGCAAGGCTGCTTTATCGGTGTTCATTTCAGTAAAGACCTGTTGTATTTTTGGTTGTTTTTCAAAAAAACGATTACTTTAAAAAGTTATACGGAAAAGTAATGACTAATGTTCGTTACATATACCTGCAGGTTGACACAGGATGGAGCTTTAGTTATCCTTTATCCATTTTGTCATTGGCAGGTAGCCCAAATAGACACATACAACCTCATAAAGCTGTCCCCGCACCCATACATAACACAAACTGAATTCCCTAACATACATGGCCGCCACCCTTGGGAACTTTTTACTTTGGAACAGCACTCTCAAAAGACTGTCTACCCCTTTTCTTAGTCAGCTATGTGTGGGGGCTGTAGAAAAGAGACAGATGATGTTCTTGAGCAGGTACATATGTTAATCTAGACATCTCCTGGTGATTACACTGTATTAGTGTGACTGCTTTATTCTTTAGACCATAGAGGGAGCTCAGGTCCTAAATTTGAATAAAAAGCTGCTACGTGATGGGGAAAGGACCATTTAACTAGCCCTCACTCTGAGAATTGCAGTGGTACATTGAAATAAAAATTCATGTAGTACAGGGATAGGCAACCTTTGGCTCTCCAGAGGTTGTGGGCTACATCCCCCATAATGCTCTTACACCCATACTGCTGCAAAGCATCATGGGAGCTGTAGTCCTAAACATCTGAAGTGCCAAAGACTGCCAATGCCTGTTATAGGATGTAGTTTACACTCGGGTAATATCTCTTCATTGTAAGGCTCACACCCCACACGCATATTTCACCACATATATTAAGAGCGGTGGTGTCTGCATCCTCAAATTACTGAACACTAGCTAAAATATTAATCATTGCAAAATATTTGTATTTACTAAAGTGCCAACATATTCGGTAGCACTGTACAATAGGTAAACAAGACAAGCAATTATTCTAAACAAAACATGTTTGACATACGGGAACAGTAGTTGAAGATGATCCTGTCCAAACAAGCTTACAATCTAAATGGATAATGTTCAAATACACAGAAAGAAATGAGGGTGTCAAATGATCTGTATATCCCTGAAAGAATGGAAGGAAGGAGCATAGTAGCCAGAACTTCATTGAGCATAACAGGAGTTGTAGTCCAGCAGGACATGCTGCCACTGTTGGCTCTGAGCTACCGCTGGGTGTGTGACAGATACAGGTTAAAACTGTGTAGCCTGTTTACTGTCTCTGGGGTTAGCATGCTTTATGTGATGACACCAGGCACAAAAAGTTGCACAATACTGATATTGATCGACATGAAGAGAGTTTTCCAGCCGGCTGATTGACAGCCTTGCAAAAAGATTAGGGAAAAAAAAAAAAAAGGTTTACATCTACATAGTGAAACCAAAGAAAAAGCTGCAAGGACATCTTTTTAATTACTCATATAGTGCAGTAGTTTTTAGGGGGTGGGAACTTGCATTCTAGCCAAATCCTTCGTTTACACTTGTATAACACCATCAGGACATCTGATAATACAAATCATGTAACTATTTTCCTCTCTTAGGTCTGTGTTATAACTGTGATGAAGTAACAAGAAGCGGATATCAGACACATTCCATGCCACCAGTGCTGCTACGTATACGTGCAGAATTACAGAGTCTGTGTTGGTTATGTCATTTATATCTGATATCTGTATTTCTGGAACTGGTTCTGTCTGGTGCTCTAAAATAAAGGAAAATTCACTATTTTTGTAAAGCTAGTGTTTGCCTCTATTTCTTTATACATGTCTATAGAGGACCTTAGTACAACACTAGGAATTGCATGTATGTGGCTTGTTTTTATTTTTGTGTACACACATTTTATATTGGAAGTATATGTTATCTACAGTAAAGAAAAAAATAATTACCTGCACTATAACATAAATCCCTATTTATAATTAAATAAATGGAGGTTATTTAGGAACTGCAATGACCATTAGATGTAACGCCTCCTCCCACTACTCCTGGGCGGCAGCAATATCTATACCACACGTCAGCCCCAATATATACAATAAACACCAAAGAAAATGTTACCTGCGCACTAGCCCAGGAGTAGTGGGAGTTTAAGCACAGGATTTAGTGTTGTGTATTTGCTTTTGTATCACACAGCCATGTTACAATGCTGCCGCCCACCCAATGTGTTTCCTGTTAAGGGTTAATAGGTATGTAGAGGTTTGGAGAAATACCCCTCTCTGTCTCATTACAGATTTCTTTGCCTGAAAGCTTACCAATAAACTTCAATCTTTAAGTTTGGATTCCAATGTTATTGAATGGGTAAGGCAGTGGCTGAGTGACAGGCAACAGAGGGTTGTAGTTAATGGAGTATATTCGAAGCATGGGCTTGTCAACAGTGAGGTACCTTCGGGATATGTACTTGGATCCATTCTCTTTAATATTTTTTTCCTGGCTAATCATGGCAGCATCACTTATTGGTAGCTCCTCCCTCAGCAGTCACAGGACAGGAATTAATTACAGGAGTTTTGTAATGTCTTACCTCATTGACTGTTTGGTTTTCCTGGTATTCTTTTCCCAGTCAGTCCGCCATTCGTTTGCTGGAACGCAGAAGTGCGTTCCATAGAGAGGAAGTGACGTTTGCGGCTGTCTCCCACGGGACCAGAAGTGACACGTTGAGGTTGCGTGGGTGTGACTCGAACACTTGGAACTTATGGCGTGCGTTACAGTGTCTGCACGTGCGCGAACCTGTTTTTTCTCTGCCCTATTTAAATCAGCCTGGGCTGAGGTTTCCTGTGTGCCTGCTGCATCAGCTGTGGGCGCACTACTGCTTTCTTTGCCTTGTGAAGATTTGAAGTTTGTGGATTTTCTGTGTGGCTGCTTGAATTGTCTCTCAACTTCAGAGGTAGGCCCTTCTACTTTTTGGGGATTATTTCATTTGCATTCAGTATTTACTTCTGCTTTTATGGGATATGGACTTTATGTCTATTGACATTTTCTATTGATTTTCCATTATCGTATGGATTCTGCCTCTGCAAGATCCTTCTCTACAAAACATAGGTGAGCCAAATTACTTTTACTTTATGGGGGTTTTTAAAAGAGTGCCAATATAAGCCTGTAATATGTGTTAGATATGGCTTTGTTTCAGCCCCAGCAAAACATTGTATTCTCCCCCCAAGGAAAGCAAGGGTTAAAACCAATAGATACATGAGAATGCTTATTGGAAATAGCGGATGCTTTCAATAGAAGTTTCCCACAGGACGACCTTAAGTTCTGGATTTTCCAAGTTATTGCTGAGGGCTTTAGGTCTACCACTGATAAAAGTGGTCCATATAAAAGACGCAGAGCAGAACTTCAGTCTTCATTCTCTGAAGAAGACCCTGATATGTGGGAGGTCTAAGATGATGGTGAGGAGGAAGTGGAATAGACCTCCAGGTCTTTAGACTCTAAGTCTATTGATAGGCTGATTACCCTTATCAGGGACACTCTTTGTCTCACGGAAGAGAAGTCAGAGTTGAGAGCGGCTGACAGGTTCTTTGAGGATATAAAGCCTAATAGGCCAACATTCCCAGTGCATTCTTCAATCAGGGACAGGATTCTTCAAGAATTGAACAACCTGACTGCAAAGTATGGAGCTTAGTCCCAAAGATAGCTGCTACCATGATTCACATGGCTAAGAAAACTATGCTCCCCATTGACTCCACGGCCTACCTTAGTGAACCTGTGGAAAAACGTATGGATAGGGATCTCACAAAATCTTATTTAGCCCTAGGCTCTGCCCTCCATCCGGCAGTGGCGGTAACCACTCTCTCAAGGGCCTTAAGAGTATGGCTCACAAGTTACAGCGCAGCACTCGTCTCCCAAGCCACCCCAGCACACAACAGAGTTTTTCTACAGGCTCTGTTCTTACCTGTGGGTGAAGCTTAATGCAAGGAGACAACCCTTCCAACGGGCAGCGAAAGCGGTGGCGGCGTGGATCCGCCCGGCGACACGCCGCGGCCTGCAGTGGAACCCCCCACGTGGCTCCAACATAGCCCCCCGACAGGACAACACACACGACCCCGAACTTGAGCATGGAACCTGCGGGAGTACCCGACCTGCCTTCCAACAAGGGCCCCCAGCAACAGCCGTCCCGCACAGCGCAACCCGGCACAGTGGGACTAACACAGCCGACAGCAATAAAAACCACACCGCAGCAGGGTTGGCATCTGACCGGCCAAAACAAACGAAAAACCCACGGTCAACCGGAACGAGAGCACCGAGGGGGCAACCGCCTGACCGCGACAGCACAACCACTGGCACCCCACCAAATGAGCGAGCCATCCCCGAGCAAGGCATCCTCGAGATCGACGCAACAGAACACCTGGTGGGCATAGGCTGAAAGGGGAATCCTTACAGGCGTATGGTGCTGGACCCTAGCCTCTGCCTCAGGCAACTCATGGGACATGGCTACCGATAGCGACATATGACAGGGTCAGGCCAGCTGTATATTCTCTAGGCCTCTTACACTCTAAACGAACGCCGACAAGCCTAATTAAGACGGACCCTCTTTTATATGACCTATTTTTATGTTTTTCTATTATGCCATTTATTTATTTATTTTTTCTTTTCTTCTCTCTGCTCGGCCTGCTATATGTACTTCAAGTGTCTCATGCATGTTGAACCCACGTATTCCTAGAATGTAACCACGGAAGTCTCACGCGGCCACTAACACACACACAGGAATTAGACACCAAGCAAGCCAATAGCGACATACTGTTTAAAGCAGAGGGAGGACAGCTAGCTTATTTACTTAAAGCTAACAACATTTTTGCATGGTTAAGCATGACCGCAGCCTTCCATTATGTTAACCTAAGAGCAAGGCAAAAAGGCATACTCGGACGACTAGCTAGTACCGGGGAGTGCTATAACAGCAAGATGTGCTAATATGTTTGGGTCATATAGAATTAAACAGGTCCCCCTGACTGCCTACTTTGGGATAATTAGATAAATCCCTAATAGCAACTGACTAACACTTTACCCTTCGCTGTGTAAAAATTAAGCATGTAACTAACAGTCCTTATCCTACAGTTCAGATACGAAATCCGCAAATGCTCCTGCTAATGCTTAACCCTTTACGTTATAGAACAGTTTGTAATTGTTTGTTTCTCATGTTAAGATACTATAAAAATGTGCTAGCCAATCACATGCCATAACAAGTCAATGTTCATGTCAAGCCTGCAGTTGCTGTTGTGGCGCTGCAAGACTAACTGTATGTTCTTTACTATGCACAAGAAAAATAAAGAATTAAAAAAAAAAAAAAAAAAAAGAGTATGGCTCGCAAATCTGGAGGAGGACATCTCCTGGAAAGTCTCAAATACTTCATCCTTGCTACAGAATTCTGCTCAGAAGCCTCTTTAGACATCACTCGTATGATTGTTAAGGTGTGGCCTCTAGAAGGGCCTTATGGCTTCATTCCTGGGGAGCCAACTATGTCTCCAAGGCGTCTTTGTGTGTCCTTCCGTTCCAGGGGGATTTGTTATTCAGTAAGATTCTGGAGGACGCCATACAAAAGGCTGCAAATGGCAAAAGAGCTATTTTACCGCAAGAAAGAAGGAAGACTTTTTTTCTCTTCCTGGGAAACTAAACGCTTCAAGGATCGATCATTTTGGGACAGCAGGAGCTATACACCAGGAAGGGAGTATTCTAGAAATTCCTCTTGGAAAAGCTTCTCCCATTCATCGACCAATAAGGCTTCCACAGGGAGAGGATCTAGAACCTCTGGGAAGAACATCTGAAGGTCTTCAGGCCCATTTGGGGATAGTGGGAGGAAGACTAAGGTTCTTCTACCCAGTGTGGGCTGCAAATATCACAGGTGTTTGGGTTAATTCCATTTTAAAAGAAGGTTACAGGATCCGCTCTCTTCAGGAAGTTGAGGGTATTGATGGGCATCAAATGAAGAGCCATGAGGAAATGCATCTCTACTCTTCAGGAACAAAGGGTTATGGAAGAAGTTCGGAAAGAGGAAAGGTTCAAACTAGTTTACTCCAGTGTTCTTGGCTCCAAAACCCCAAGGAAAGTCGCGTCTTATCCTGAACTTAAAAGGAGTGAACTTCATGCTCAACGTGAAAATGTTCAAAATAGAGTCTTCACAGACCATCTTGAAAAGCATCAAAAGAGGGGACTGAATGACTTCGATAGACTTGAGGGACGCCTACTACCAAATCCCTATAAACTGCGTTGTGTAAAATTTCTCAGATTCTTGGCACTTTCAATTCCGGGGCCTCCTGTTTGGCCTCAGCTTGGCACCAAGAATGTTCTCAAAGTTCACTTTAATAGCCTTCATTAGAGTAAGAGGTATCGAAATCTTCCATTACCTGGACAATATCCTTATCATAGGTCTATTCCAAAGGATAGTGGCTCATTGTACTCTAGTGACAATGAACATTCTTCAAGATCATGGTTGGCTTCTAAACGTAGAGAAGAGCTCCCTAATTCCTTCTCAAAAAATCGTATTCCTTGGAGCAGTGATAGACACGATCTCAGCCCATGTGTTCCTCTCTCCAGAAAGGGCCCTAAAAATCCAAGACAAAGTCGGGTAAACTACAGTATCTCAAAACAGCCTCAGCGAGAGAATTCATGAGTCTCCAAGTTTCTTTGACATCAACAATTGGGCTGGTAGAATGGGCCTAATGGAAGTTTCGTCCTATTCAGAATTGCTTCCTTCAATTCGACAGAATGGAAACAGATTGGTAGCAAAGGATAACTCTGCCCCTGCCGGTAAGA